CACGCTTTAAAACAACTGCTCTTGGCAGTTGTGCCAGGAGTAGACTGAGGATAAACTGAAGGGGGAAGGCATGGAGACGAGTTAGGGGTCTGTTGAAATACTCTCTCAGGAGATGATGGGTGTTTGAACCAGATGGTTGCGGTGGAGACGGTGAATGGTGTTTGTCATGGTGGTATGTTGAAGCAGGGACTCATCATGAACAAAAGACATGGGTGTTCAGAGAACATTGAAGAACCATGTTTGACTAGTGTAGAGAATGCTAGGTGGGGAGAAGTTGACGAGGTGGCTGAGTAATTTACAGTAGGATTGAATTTTATAGGGGGTATAAAGGAGTATAGTGTCAGAAAAATAGGGACTTACTCCAGTGTATTAGTTTGGTCAGGCTGCCATAACTAAATACCATAAATTGGGTGGCTTAAACAACAGAAATTTGTTGTCTTACAGTTCTGGAGCCCCATATTAAGGTGATGGCCAATTGGGTTTATGGTGAGAAATCTCTTTCTGGATTGTAGGCAGCCACTTTCTCACTGTAACCTCACGCGGTCTTTCCTCTGTTCTGGTGTGGAATGGAAATGCTCAGGTCTCTTTCTCATATGCTGCCAATACTATTGGATTAGAGCCCAAGCCTTATGGACACATTTCATCTTAGTTATCTTAAAGATTGCCTGTCTCCAAATACAGACACACTAAGGCGTAGGACTTCAACTTATGAGTTTGAAGGGGGTCACAATTCACTCTAGAGCAACATGATTCTCCTGTAAAGCGTTTTAGGGAGTCAAATCTGATATTGGCTACTAGTACAAATTAAAAGACAAGAGTCTAGGAGGCTAATTTAGAAGGTATGTTGTAAGCGTCAAGACAAGGAATGTGGCAAACCTTGACTGGGGCACAGAGAGAGAGATTAGCTAGCCAAGGGGACACAGCCTGAGTGGAACTACCCAGCTTTACCACCATGTTTTTGCTACAGAAAAGGAATTTGTGTCCTTATTCTTATTTAGTTATGAAACCATTGATTATATACCAGAGCATATGTCACAGTATATTAGGCACACAAATATACCATTTACACATCCATACATATAAACACCCAGATACTCAACTATATGTACTTTCACCAAACCATGTCTACTTGCATGTACCTGTATTTACCTATGAAACAGTAATTCAAGGATGCTAATGAAGAGGAAAAAGCATGAGCTCACAATGTAAGTTTATGATAGAAAATGACTGGGTAGGTAGGAGAGAGAGTCGAGTCTGAAAATTAAGGAAGAAGGAAGTCAAGATTCCTGAAGCCCAGGAGAAGAGTCATGAGTGTATACAATGAACTTTGCTTAAACCTATTCTGGGAATCAAGTTACACACATTTTCAACTACTCCATGGATATATGCCATACTAAAAACCAGTGTTTCATAAACAGGAATATGCGGCATGGAGAGTTGATGCATCATCATCTTTGTTCAGGTTTACACAGAGAGGTATGTACATAGGTAAATACAGGTACATGCAAGTAGACATGGTTTGGTGAAAGTACATATAGTTGAGTATCTGGGTGTTTATATGTATGGATGTGTAAATGGTATATTTGGCCAAGGTGAACTCCTTCCTGGCTTATACTTTGATGGCAGTGTCTCCTGGCCCCTCTTCTAGTAGAGTGGCCTGGGCTGAGTGAGGTCGGGACTTTCTAGGAGGGAGATCCAAAAGAAACAAATACAAGGTAAAACAGGCAACACATTATTTAAGCTAACACTGCAGGTATGCTGATTGGGGTGCACCAATGAATAGGACAAGGGCAATAAGTGGAAAGAGAAGGGCCAAGTCTTGCATAAGAGTGGAAATTAAGTGGCACAAACATTCACTTACGGCCTTTGGAGTCAGACTGACCTGGGTTTATATCTCAACTTCCCCACTTAGCAGTTTGACTGAGAACATGTTATTTAGCCTCCGTGTGCCTCTGTTTCATTAACTAAAAGGAACCTTAGTAAGAACAGTTGCTGTGAGGATTAAATGAGATAATGTACCTAAAGCATTTAGCATAGCTTGGCATATAGTAGGCATTAAAATGATTAACAGGTGGGAGTTGTCTTTTTAAAAGGCAAAAGGGAAAATATTTGCAGTGCTAAAAATAAGTGTTAAGCTTTCCGTGGAGCTCATTTGAAAAATTCTAACTAGCTTATAGGTCTTGAGAATGGTGGGAGTATCTTAGTCAAAAAAATTTCATCAAACATCCCACTGCTAAAAGGAGTTTTCTCACAATCCCATCCTTTGTGACTTTGAATATGGAATGCAGTGGAACTAGACAGGAATCTCACTCCAAGTTTGCTGACCACCAGATGCATGATGACATTTTCCCAAGCTATTTGCTGCATTTTTTTCTTCAGATAATGAGTCATTATTGTGAAATACTGTTTATTGTAAAACTCTTGTGTTCCTGCCATACATACCAAAACAAAAGGTCACTTTACAGGCACTTTATGTTACAGACAGGAACAAAAGAAAATAATATAATGCTGTGAAATGTCATACTGTATGTAGCATGGTGGACACTATCTTGCTGCGCATTTAAAATATTGGCTTAACATATACATTAGGAAGAAAGCAAATAGCAGAACTTTTAGTTGGACCCCATTTATGCAAAAACTCTATGCTTTTATATGCACATATAATTTCTGGAAAAACAGATAATACTTTTTTGATAGTGATTATACCTAAGGTCAGGATTCTTTTACTTTTTGTTATATACCCCTGTGCACTCTTGAATTTAATTTTTAAACAATGAACATATAGAATTTGCAGAATAATTTTCTAAGCCATATAAAAATTTTACACTGCCAGATTAAAAGTAGATCTCAATGTTCTAGATATAATTTAGGGAGAAGCAATAAAAATGGTCTTTTGAAATTGTTTGTCTTTCAAGATAAAAGACAACACAAAAGACAGAGATAAATGTGTGTGTGCATGAGCGTGTGCATGCACATGCACATGCTTAACTATTGTACTATTGTGGCAGTTACTTATAGCCTCATTCAGGCTGAGAACAAGGAGTTCCCATTAAGGATTACCTCCAAGCACTCCCATGCTTACTCTGTATATATGGGGCACTGAACCCCAGCATTTTCACAAAAATGATCTGAATTCATAGAGTTCAACCCAGAATAAACTCTTCTGATTCACAGGAACAGCCGTCTGGTTCTCCTACCTAGTTGTCCACATGGATATATCTTTGCTGCCTTGCCCAATTCTACTTAACACTTCTTCACTGAGTCAGAATAATGATTCTAAGGGCTGCAGCGGTATTATAAGGAGGATGGGGATCCAACCCTACATTTGTTAAGTACTTTGCTTTTTATCCTGCAACTTTGCCCCAGCTCTTGGATATTATGATACATCAGAAGGAGGGTCATCTGTTTCAGGTGATCCTGAATCACCTAGCCCTGCTGATGTCAATGGCTGGGTGGAAGGAGCAGGCCATGTCAATGTTTGGAGAAGAGTAATCTTTTCTGACTACAATTGACTGCGAATAACGGAAACTGCAGATAAATACTGTAGCTTCCTCTCTGAAGTTACATAAAATCTCTCCTCACCTTGAGTTACCTAATGGAAGGCTAAAGCATGCCTGGATCTAGTTATAGTTGATTTTCATTATTTGAAGGGTCCATCTGTATGAATTCACGCTCTTGCTAAACTTTATTTGTAAGTTGAAAATCAACACTCACAGTGCTTTTGTGGTCATTCATGGACATGCGTGTGTGCAGTGACGCAAAATTTGAGTCACCAGGGAGCATGTCACTAAACAAAGTGATGGTCTGCCCTCTTATTTCAGTTCTCATACTGTGAACAAGTGTCCTTTTTGAGGTCTGTTTAGTGCCATGTTTTTCATATTTTTGTGGGGTTTTTTGGGGTGATTTTGTTGTTTAAAATGCCCCTCAAGCACAGTACTGAAGTATTGTCTAGTGCTCCTAGGTGCAAGAATGCTGCAATGTGCCTTGTTGAGAAATCATGTATGTTAGATAAGATTTGCTCAGGCATGAGTTAATGTTATTGAACATGAGTTAATGTTAATGAATCAATAATGTGTTTTTAAACATAGGTGTTAAATACAGTGTCTTTAAACAAAATCATGTATAATATAAGAATATGTATTGATCAGTTAACAAATTGGCTCACAGGAACTTAGCCTTGTATTTCCTCAAGTTATCCTTTAACAAATAGTTTAATGGATGGGTGTATTAGTTTCTTAGGACTGCAATAACAAATTATCACAGACTTGGTTGCTTACAACAACAGAGATTTGTTCTCTCAGTTTTAAAACCAGAAGTCTAAAATCAAGGTATTGGCAGGGCCACACTTTCTCCAAAGCCTTTAGGGGACATTCTTCTTGCCCTTCTGCTTCTAATAGTTCTCGGCATTTCTTGGAGCACAGCAGCATAATTCCAATGTCTGCCTCTGTCTTCACACTGCCTTCATCTTTGTCTGCCTTTGTGTCCAAATGTCCCTCTTCTTTCACTTATGAAGATACCAGTTACTGGGTTTAGGACCATTTTAAATTTGAAGATGTTTTCATATTGAGATCTTTAGTCATGCGTTGCTTAATGACGGAAACGTGTTCTGAGGAATGCATTCTTAGGCAATTTCATCATTGTGCAAACATTATAGAGTTCACTTAAACAAAGCTCAGTGGTATAGCCTATTATACACCAAGGCTGCATGGTGTAGCCTGTTAATCCTGGCCTATAAACCTGTATAGCATATTACTGTTCTGAACACCAACAGTATAACACAGTGGTAAGAATTTGTGTTTATAAACATAGAAAAGGTACAGTAGAAAGAAGGAGAAGGGACTAAACAAAGAACATGTATGAATGACCCATGAATATGGACAACAGAGTGGGAATTGACAGTAGGAGCAGAGGATGGGGGTGGCATGGGTGGAGGAGGGCAAAGGGGGGAAAATTGAGACAACTGTAATAGAATAAACATGATTTAAAAATAAAAAAGATAATCCTCCTACGAAGGCGTGTCTTTGGTTCCCTGTCTTTGGACACGTAAGAATTGGAGGCAAAGAAATGTGGACTTGGAGAAGTCTGGGGCCAGCTTGCTCCCTGCAGGCTCAAGACCAACCATCCCACATAGAGAAAAAAAAATAAAAAAATAAAAAAAAATAAAAATAAAAAAATAAAAAATATAAAAGGTACAGTAAAAATATGGTATAAAAGATAAAAAATGGTACTTCTGTGTAAGGCACTTACCATGAGGAGCCTGCAAGACTGGAAGTTGCTCTGGATCAGTGAGTAAGTGAGTGGTGAATGAAAGTGAAGGTCTAGTAGTGTGTGTTAATATCAACACACTACTGTTGATGTTAAAACACTGTACATTTAGGCTACACCAAATTAAATTCTTTCTTTCTTCAATAATAAATTAACCTTAGCTTTCTGTAACCTTTTCCATTTTAAACTTAAAAAAATTTTAAAACCTTTTAGCTTTTGTAATAACACTGAGCTAAAAACAAACGTTGTACAGCTGTACAAAACATTTTCTTCCTTTTAAAAAATTATATTTTATTGTTTATGCTATTACAGTTGCCCCAGTTTTTCCCTCTTTGTCCCCCTCTACCCAGCCTCCCCTCCCTCAGGCAATTCCCACACCATTTTCCGTGCCCATGGGCCATGTGTATGTGTTCTTCGCCTACTGTTTCCCCATGCTGTACTTTACATTCCCATCACTATTCTGCAACTACCAAGTTGTACTTCGTGATCCCCTCACCCTTTTTGCCCATCTCCCTGAACCCATTTCCCATCAGGCAACCATCAAAAGATTCTCTATATCTATGATTCTGTTTCTGTTCTGCTTGTTTATTTTGTTTTTTAGAATCAGTTGTTGATAGGAATTTATTGCCATTTCATTGTTCATATTTTTGGTCTTCTTCTTAAAGGAAAGTCTTTAACATTTCATACAATACTGGTTTCCTTCTGATGAACTCCTTTAGTTTTTTCTTGTCTGGGAAGGTCTTTATCTGTCCTTCAATTCTAAGTGATAGCTTTGCTGGGTAGAGTAATCTTGGTTGTATGTTCTTGCTTTCTATCACTTTGAATATTTCTTGTCAATCCTCTCTAGCCTGCAAAATTTCATTTGGGGAATCAGCTGACGGTCTTCTGGGAGTTCCTTTGTAAGTGACTAGCTGTTTTCCCTCTTGCTGCTTTTAAGATTCTCTTTTTGTCTTAACCTTTGACATTTTAATTATGCTATGTCTTGTTGTAGGCCTCTTTGGGTTCATCTTGTTTGGGACCCTGCATTTCCTGGACTTGCATATCTATTTCCTTCACCAAGTTAGGGAAGTTTTCTGTCATTTTTTTTCAAGTAGGTTTCCAATTTCTTGTTCTCTCTCTGCTCTTTCTGGCAACTCAATGATTCAAATGTTGGTATACTTGAAGTTGTTTCAGAGGTTCCTTACACTATTCTCATTTTTTAAAAATTATTTTTTCTTCTTGCTGTTCCGATTGGTTGTTTTTTGCTTCTTTATATTCTAAATCACCGATTTAATTCTTGGCTTCATCCACTCTATTGTTGATTCCCTGTAAATTGTTCTTATTTCAATTAGCATATTCTTCATTTCTGGGGTTTTTTAAATGCTATGTCCTTGCAAAGTTCCTTGAAAATACATATAACCAGTATTTTGAACTCTGCATCTAGTAGGTTGTTTTCAATTTGTTTAGTTCTTTTTCTGGAGTTTTGTTCTATTTTTTCATTTGGACCATGTGTCTTTGTCTCCTCATTTTGGCAGCCTCCCTGTGTTTGTTTCTATATATTAGGTGGAGCTGTTATATCTCCTAGGCTTGGGAGAGTGGTCTAATGTAGTAGGTTTTCTGTAGAGTCTAGTGGCACAGCTTCCTCTTTAACCCAATCTGAGAACTCAAGGTGTGCCCACTGTGTGTACTGTGTATATCCTCCTGTTTTAGTTGAGCCTTGATAGCTGTTGACACGTCCAAGGTCAGCCACCAACTGTGTTCTCTGTCTGGGGTCACACAGCTTAAGCTACAAAGTGATATGTAAAGTGTTGCTACTTGTGCTGGGCTTGGAGATGCCCAGGCAAGGCCAAGCTGGAACCATAGCTGGCTGCTTCTAGTGCTAGGCCTGGGGCAAGTTAGTGAGAGATACAGGGTTTGCTGAAGCTAGATGCTGCTTGTCTGAGAGAATTTAGGAAAAGCTGAAGCATGGGCCAAGACAAGGCATTCATATGGGAAAAGCCTCTGGAAACAGCTTGGGTGGGGCCAAAAGCTGGGTGGAGCAGGGCCCAGGGAATCAGCAGGGTGGGGCAAACAATGTGAGGCAAGGTGATGGATTTTCAGGTATGGTGCCTGCCTGCTGGCTCTGTGGCTCTGTTGGGGGAGGGCTCAGAAAAAGAACAATGGCATCTGTCAGCATTTCTGTCTGGGAGAAAGTTGCCCCCACAGCTTCACCGTAATGCTTGACAGTTCAGTTCTTCCCTCTGTCTCTCATGTCTTTCAATCTGCTGCCCCCGCCCCAACCTCCAGGCTGGAGCTCAGAGGGAGGAAGTCCAAGTCTGTGCGTGGGCCTTTTAAGAGGAACTGCCTGAGACTCGAGCAGTTTTTGTCCTCCACAGCTTCAATCCCTGCTAGTTTTTACATCCAGAAGTTATGGGGACTTCTCTTCCTGGCACTGGAGCTCTAGCCTGGGCAGCCTGACATGGGGCTGGGACCTCTTGCTCCCAATATCCCTCCTGATTTTTATCCACCATACATGGGTGTGGGACCACCCCGCTCCATGTCTCCACCCCTCCTCCCAATCTCGATGTAGTCTTCTTTAATTCCATAGTTGCAGGACTTCCATTCAGCTTGATTTCTGACGGTTCTAAGTGATGGTTGTTGTACAGCTTAGCTGTAATTTTGATGTGGTTGTGCGAGGAGTGAGCCGTGTTTACCTATGCCACCATCTGGACCAAAAGTTCCCCATTTCCTTTCTTTATATTCTTATCCTATAAGCTTTTTCCTATTAATTTTCTTTTTACTTAAACTTTTCTTTCTGTGTAAGAGTGATGAAAGTGGACACCTCTCTCATGTTCCCAGTCTTAAGGGAAACGCTTGTAGTTTTTGCCCTCTGAGTATGATGTTGGCTGTGGGTTTGCCATATATGGCCTTTATTATGTTGAGGTGTGTTCCCTCTATTCTCACTTGCTGTTTTTATCATAAATGGGTGCTGGATTTTATCAAATGCTTTTTCTGTAACTACTGATATGATCATGTGGTCTTTATCCTTTATTCTGAGGTATATCATGTTTTTTGATTTGTGGATATTGTACCAACCTGCCCAGAATAAATTTCACTTGATCGTAGTGTATAATCTTTTTAATGTATTGCTGGACCACTAATATTTTGTTGAGGATTTTGCATCTATGTTCATCAGGGATATTGGCCTATAATTTTCTTCCTTGGTAGTGTATTTATCTGGTTTTATCTGTATTAGGATAATGCTGGCCTTTTAAAATGAGCTTGGGAGTCTTTCTTTCTCTTGAATTTTTTGGAATAGTTAGAGGATAGGTGTTAGTTTTTATATGAATGTTCGGTAATTTTCACCTGTGAAGCCATCTGGTCCAGGACTTGTGCCTGCTGAGCTTTGATTAGTGCTTCAATTTCACTGGTTACAGTCTGTCTGTCCAGATTCTCTGATTCTTCCCGATTCAGTTTTGAAAGATCGTTATGCTCTATGAATTTGTCCATTTCATCCAGGCTGTCCAATTTGTTTGCATATAGTTCATATTTTCTTAGAATCCTTTGTGTTTCTTGGTGTCAGTTGTTACTTCTCTGATTTCTTTCATTTCTGATTTTATTTACTTGAGTCCTCTCTTTTTTTCTTGGTGAGTCTGCTTAAAGGTTTGTTTGAACCAGCTTTTGCAGGGATATAGAGAAGTTAAGTAAAGCCATGGGTATTATACAACTTCATAGTTAATGGACATCAAAGAAAACATTTTAAGTTAAATGCTTACATAGTACTGGAAAGGGAAAAATGGGTATTAAAATTTTATAGGAAGAGACACTTCGTAGGAGACTCTTTATTATTAATGTCTGGAGTTAAGTTCTGCTGTTTCAAACTTTCCTGTTATCCTGCTTAACATTAGAAAAATATTAAAAAAAAGGATGGATTGTAAAAAATCTTCACTTATTAATGAGTAATTGAGGACAGTGGCTGTTTAAAGAAGTTTCTCAGTCCAATAGAAGAGCTGGAAACCCTCTCTCTCTCCAATGAAAATGCTCATTAGTATCTCCAAAGGCTTGTATCTTCCTAAATCCTAGGCTCCTCTCTGCCCTCTACTTAACCTCTTAGCAGCAGTTGATCACTTCATTTAACAATACCTAGCTTTGGATATACTACTGTTAATGTTCAAGCTTTGTAGTCCACCTGTCTCTTTTGCTGGTTCTGCCTTATTTGCTACAAACATGCTTTCCCAGTTCCCATTTCTTTTAGTGATAACAATATCAATTGTTCAGTAAGAAACTTAGAAACCGTCCTTGTCTCCTTTACAACCCTCTATTCTAATAAGCAAATCCCATTGGCCTGTCACGATTCTGTGCACTTCTTTCCAAATCCTAGTCTAAAAGCCCCTCTTCCTGCTGGTCTCCCTGACTGCCACATATAATTTTTTCTCCACACAATATTCAGAACCATCTTTTAAAATTACTGGTGTCAGAATTTAAATTTTCAATGGCTTTCCATTAATTTAATCAATTCATTATCTCAAACTATAAACTATCTGTTGTCTGGTACCCGACCATTTCTCTAATCTTGTTTAACATCACTCTGCTTGAATTTGGTATATCCATCCAATTTCAGAGAGACTTACACTCTGCCTGGACTGCTCTTTCCCTAGATTTGCATGGTCAGTTCTTTTTTTTCATTCACGTGTGAAATCAACTTTCATACCCTGAGAGGTGCCTTCCCACCTTCATTTTGCTAGATTTTTCTCTGAAATTATTTTATTCACCTTCCTTTCCACATAGAATTAAGCACTTAGAGCACAGGAATAATTTGTTCCTCATGGTATCCTCCAACCTTAGCACACAATACGCAGAATAAATATGTTACATAAATAGATGAAGGGGTTACAGAAAGAGCATATTCCTAGTAGGTTCTATACTTCTGGGTTTCTTTCCTGTCTCTGGGTGGTGAAGACAATAATGGGAAAGGGGAGAGACCAAAGTTTTAATTAAATATGACCCCTATCCCATCCAATGAAGTACAACAGTTTGTAGGCTCTATCTGTTTACAACTCACTTTGAACAGGTCCAAGATAGGTACCTTTCTTTAAAGGCCACTAATCTACAGAGGATCAGTCATAACCCCACCAAACACATAAAATTGATTTCTAGAGAAAAAACTTTAAATTTACATTCATTACTCTAAAAAATTGATTTGGGATCAACTATTAAATACAACAAATACATAGCTCAAGACATTAGATGGATATTGCTTACATGGTTCCCTGTTGGGCTAATGCTATCATCATACCACCTACCACTGCCGGTTGAAGGTAGCTGAAATAAGGTCACCTGCCTCCTTCCCTCCTACTTCCACAACTTGGAAGATTAAAAGATTTGCAATGTGCAAGATAACATTAGCTTTTTACGTTTACATTGGAACCCTGGCCACAAAGGTTATTTTTTTTCTAAGTTCTTCTGAGTTTCACAAGCTGTCTGATTGTATTATTGTACTTTCAGATTAGGGTTGGCCCATTTCTCTAGGCTGAAGGTTACACCTGAGACCATTACTTTTGTATACCCAATAAATTCATGAGAGGTTTTTGAGATATCGCAGCCCATAAATTTAGGATTCATTTTAAAGAAACTTAAGAGGGATTTGGGAGTGTGCATTTCTTCCTTCACTTCTTTCCTTAATTTCATGCTTAGAAACGTTTTACACTTGAGTAATTCCTGAGACATTTGTTTGCAACATGAAATTGTCCCAGGACATATCATTAAACAGGAGAGACCAATCCCACCTCCATGAATGCTTCAAAGCAGAAGGAGGAAATCTTAAAAGTGAAATAATTAAACCCCAATTTTCAGCCCAAATGAACAAAATGTACTGTTTTCTGGGAAGCATTGTTAAAACATTCAAACGTTATTTTACTTAAGTATACATTATTGAAGTACTTGATCGAATATATGAAGTGCACTGTTTAAAACCACTATGCTGGCCTTGTGCTAACTGAAACTAATATTTACACAGGAAATATTTAAGAGGTAGATTATATAATTTTTATTACTGATAAAGAATGTGTACTTCCAGTCAAAAGTCCTTAACTACCTAACCCTTGAAGCACTTTGTGACCCATTCTGCTCACATCAGTTGATTCTCAGGTAGTAGTACCTTGTGGGACTTCCTGCTTCAGGTAGATATCCTCTGTCACACTCCTAGTCACCTGCTTTTTACCACCTAGCGTTACATCAAATAATGTCATATTGGATACTAACAAGCTAGTATTTTTCTTGAAATTGAGAAAACTCATAAAAGAACTATGTAATAAGTTGCAAAATAAAACCATTTTCTATTTTCCATTGCTCCATTTCTTGGTTGACATATAAAAAAACCCTTTTAAACATCCCTGACTGGTGTGGCTCAGTGGATTGAGTGTTGGCCTGCAAATGGAAGGTTCGATTCCCAGTCAGGGCATATTTCTGTCTGGGTTGTCAGCCAAGTTCCCAGTAGGGTGTGTGGAGAGGCAACTGATGGATCTCTCTCTCATACATCAATGTTTGTTTCTCTTTCTTCCTTCCTTTTCCTAAAAATAAGTTCTTAAAAAAAACTGTTTAAACAACGAGATATTCAACATAGCATTAATATGCTACTAAAATAGTAACTAAGCATGTAAAAACTTTTGACTTCATGGGATGGTTAACACTTCAAGACTACTTTAAAAAAATCTGTTTACTCACATAAGATGGTGTCCAGTAAAACAAGGAACCTTTATCAATGGACTTAAAGATATCCTTTTTCAAAATATTAAAAATTCAACCTAATTCCTCAATTATTATGTAAATTTGAACGCTGTCTTCCATGTGAAACACAGCCATAACATAAAAGTTATTGGTACACTGGAAATTCTTTTCATGGCATATATCCGAGTCAGAAATTATATTAAATAATGGAAACTGGTAAAGGTATTGTGGTGGACTTCCTAGTGAACTTATCATTTAAAAAAGTTTTTCAATTACAGGTTACTTTCAATATTATTTTATATTGGTTTCAAGTGTTGGGTAGTGAATTTTGTACTCACACAAGTACAGGAGTGTACACACACAAAATACCACCACCAACCAACCATTATTGTGCAAATTCTGACCAAGGTTTAAAATTTAAAATCCTGGACAACAGGAAACAATTTGGCCACCAATAGTTAAGTATTTAAAAAATAACTTTTTGTCTATTACAAGGTTTTAAGGTGGAGTTGGCATCTCCTTTTAATGCCATTAGGATTGCATTGCATTGATTTTTAATTATTCTAGCAGGTTTTTAAATCCTCCAAATGGTATTATTATTCTAACTTTCCTTGAAACTACAAAAGTTAAACCTTTTCAAATCTTACCTAGTGATTCAAAGAGAAGAATGCAAAATTCTTGAACTGGCTGATCCATGCCATGAAGGGCACACATTAGATAGCAGATACATGGCAAATTTTAATAAATCTTGAGTTAAAAGGAACTTCTGATATGCTTATGCTATAAAAGAATCTCTGATAAGTCTACAATAATGAAGTTCTTACAAATCATTCCTAATTATAATTTTATCCAGACAAGTATAGGATGCTGCTAGGGCAGGGGAGTTGGGATAGGGACACCTAATGCAAAAACAAAACAGGTAAAATCTCCAAATATAGAAAAATTTTGATTTTGGTCACACAAATGAAGACCTTGAGCTTCAAGTTCTGAGACCTAACGTCATCTCTTGTTCTAAGTAAACAGATAGTATTCTTCAACATTTTGAAACAAAACAGTTGAAGGCCAAATACACTACATGTGAGATCAAAAGGTTAATAAAAAGGTAAACAAAAATAAATCCAATCAAACCCAAAAGTACTTTACTACGGTAACGATTACTAGCTAAAGTTTATGGAATATCTAGGTCAGATTAAAAAAGGTCAATTCCTTATTATGTTAAATGTCAATTTTATCTCCAAAAATTTTGAAAAAGCCAATTCATTTTTTTTTACGTCTCAGTTTAAAAGGTTTATTTTCTTCAGACATTATAATCCTATATAAAGGATAAAACTCCTATCTTTACTAAGTTTTGTATGCTTGAGTTTCACTTTAAAGACCTAAATCAAAGTGAACATTTTTCAGGTTTATTTAAACCTGAAAACACTATTACTAAAACAACAGTATTATTTTTAAAAAGCAGCCTTGGTAAATAAATGGTTAAAATATCTGAGTCCCTCAAAAAAGTAAGAGAATCCACCAGGCAGGCAAATATCTTTTTATCCTATGGACTAAACTGACTAAATTCTATCCCAATATAATTTTCTTCACACGCTGACACCCTCAACCTCATCTGACCCTCAAAACAAAGTGTACTCACCTGTGTTTACTGAAGAATCATAAAGACTACTGATAGAAATCTCTTTAAAATTTTTACTAAAATTTGGGTATTTTAACTATCAAGAATAGCTGTTTTTCCATCCTCAACAAAGCAATGTTTTATTGTAACAACACAAAGTACTACTCTGCCCACAGTGTAGCCCATTTAAAGCAGGTTTCACTAAAACCATAACCCCCAATGTGAAATCATTCTCAGTACTCTTTGACATTATTAACCTTTAGTTAGAAGCGACTCATGTAATGAAAGCAGTATTTTACATAGTCATCTCATCTTAAAAAAAAGAGAAAGTTATGTTATGCTAAGTGAAGTAAGCCAGTGAAAGACAAATATCATATAATCTCACCTGTAGGTGGAACCTATTCAACAAAATAAACTAATGAACAAAATAAACCACAGGCATGGAAACATGGAGCAGACTGAAAGTGACCAGAGGGGATGGGGAAGGACAATGGTGGAAAGAAGGGGAAGGGACTAGACAGAGAACGTGTATGAATGACCATGGACATGGACGAGAGTGTGGGGATTGACTGTGGGAGGGGGTGGGGGGGCTGTGTGGGATGGACGGAGGGGGGCAAAGGGGGAAAAACTGAACTGTAATAAACATGATTTTTTAAAAAGTTATGCTACATTAAGATGTGGGGAAAAATATTTAACCAAAAATTTAAAAATTAGTATAAGAGCTCGAATGAGTAATGGAAATCCAGCTTTTGTAGCAGAGTTATCTATGTGTGGAAGCCGAAGTCTACTGTGGTGTGTGTTTATTCAGGTTTAGGGATAAAAAGAAAAAGGAAACACATTACAATCTGAGGTAAACTACTCATTATAGTTTTCACAAAAGAGGTAAAGTGCTAGGAATTTGCCAATTTTTTACTTGTCTTCAATTTAGTTATATTTGATAAACAATCTCTATGATTGCAACTCTAAGGTTTGATGCACGAGAACACAGAAAATGTTTAAATGGAAAAATAGTAAATTGTTAAGTTAGCCAGACTGTTAAGATACATCAAAAACCTGTGTTCTAGAACAAATGTGGTAGATGACTTTAAAGATTATGATTTAACTGGATGTTATACATTTAGCCCAGTTCCCTAAGGGATAACAACTGTATGCTTTCCCTCTAGAAACATGCAATATTCATTACCGAACGTGGCAAAGGTACCAGAGGGGAACAGGGCATTGTAAGAGTTAGAAATCATGTCATTCAAATCTTCTGAATTCTAATTCCATCAACTTAAGAGTTAAGCAGGGTGAAGCAGGGCTTTCCACCCGCCGAGTTACCACATACATATTTGAATACAGGCACAGGAACTTGTCATTTTTATTTGGGTAACAAAGGGTCTCCAAATTACACTAAAAAAGAAATCCTAGTTATTATCACTCCTGTAAAAAAAAAAATTAGCACACTTTTCACAAGTTATTTATGTAAAAGAGAAGAAAATACACGTAATTTTATATCTTAAACTTTTTTATTCCCTACCAAAGACATTTTGTCTTTTGTTTTCTTTGTTTTCTACAATATCCAACTTGTACCTGTTATTTAATACTGCTTTAATCTGCTGAAGACATTAACTGATTGCTTTCCTAAACCTATGGATTATATAGTTTTAGTATAAATATATATCACATATTTTCGTAAAATTTTGACAAAACTGAATAAGCATGCCTTGTTTTAAGTCCATGCTCCTTACACTGTTTATAAAATCTGATTTAATGATCAAAAATTCTTGGCTGTCATTCTTCAGTTACAACAAACAGTTTTCCTTCTGAACTGCTACTCACTTCTTTTTACATAATAACAAAGCAATAGAAAAACCAAAGAAATTATCTTAATCTTAGTTCTTCCTTTGACGCTATAAAATAATGTGATTTTTTTTTTTTTTTAATGAAACAAATACATCCAAAACTCAATACATTCAAATGAGCTGTGTCTCCTTTAAGGTAGTCAGTCACCTTGGACAGCCACAGTTCATTCTCTTAACTATGCTACCACTGCTCAAAATACCTTTAAAAACTCTTTTGGGATTGCCTCCAAAGCCAGCTGCGTACTTTCTATGATTACCTCAAAAACTGATTTATTTTTTGTAAACTGTTAAAAGTCATTTTGTGCCAAATAATGATAACTATAAGATGATCGAGCTTGGTAGTACTTTTCTTTTAAAACAATGTGTAATCATAAAGTGAATACTCTGTGTGACTTAAATTAGCTATGAATGCAATTCTAAAAGAGCAAAACCCGAGATTTTGAGCAATGGTAAATTGCTGGGATTAGTAAATAATTTTCCAGGATAATCACTATGTAGGGTAACATTCATTTAGCTGTCTATGTTCTGGCATATTTGTTTAAAGTGAACATTCTGAGAGTTAGAATTTATTATTTTAAAAAGGAGTATCATTCTTAAAAAAATTTATTCCTTTAAAGCATCACTGTTAAAAGTAATATGGAAGTGTTTTGTTAGAAACTAGTTTTTACTTACTTTATCAATAAAGATTTATTTTAAAAACTTGAAAGCAAACAACTAAACTTATTTGCTGCCAGGCTTTTAAAAATTGTTAACTGAAGATAAAATTTGAAAGTCCTAAGGTACTAAAAAACAAAACAAAAACCCCAAGTGTAATAAAAACACATCAAGAACCAAACTACAATTTCTGAGCTGCACTGTTTATTTTGCTGCTTGAAACCTAAGTGACAGTATGCCACTATAATTGTGGGGTTTCATCTAATCCTTTACTACACTGCAGGTACAGAAATATATGGACACATTTGTGGAGAATTGACATTTTGCAAAATGCAGCAAACATTTTAATTTATACATGAGAAAAGGAAGTGTTCAAAAGGGTATGCATTTCAAGTTATTGCAGGTTATTTGTGAGAGAATTTCTGTAGGTAAAACATGTTTAAATTTAACCAACAGTAGCATGTCAGTGTATTTAAAATCATGACAAAAATCTTCTCTCTGGTCATGTTGCCCATGACAAATTACTATGATGTTGTATGTTTAGGGCAAGATGTCAATACAGCATAAATCCCATGGCATTTTGGTTTTCTTCTGGAGATTAAAGCTGTTTTTCTTGGGATAAATGCAGCAGCAAAACACAAACCAGTTGATCAAAAAAAGCACTTCTGCCATTAACTCCAATAATTTTCAGGACACATCAACCGACAGTAGTTTTGCCATTCCCAGTTCTTTTAAGAATTACATCTCTGCACTGTTGCCTTAAGTACGTCTGTAAAAGCTTGTTCTCTGTTAAGCCAGTTTACTGACTACAGCCTGGTTGAGAGAATTTAGTTGGTTGGTCCATTTATCTAGTGCAGTATATCGGGCACCACCCCTCTTCTGATGATCCAGTTCAAGGAGCTGGTTGACTTGATCAATTCGGCCATGAATAGTGCTGGGGGAAAAAAAGAAAAGAAGACATGTCTACAAACTATTTTCACTTAGCAAAACTGCTAGGCTAACATTTCATTAATATTCAAAATATCAATAAAGGCAAAAGAAAAAACTGCTGCCTGCATTAAATGACGGAATTCAGGATTAATTGTAACATGCATTTCCTTATTCAAACTCTAGAAAGAAACCCGATTTCAGCTACCTGTCATCAATTTCACTGGAAGAACCAATAGGCATAGACTTATCCGATCAATCAATCAAGAGCAAATGTAATTTGTGAAGCTTTTAACAACATATTGTTTTTTAAAAAAGATAATTTCAAAACTAATATATACCATACCATATATGTGAAAAAATACTACTCATTAAATAATTCTCTAGCTGTATATGGGTCACATATTAAATGAGAAATCCTTCTGAAAAGCCATTTAGAACTTTTTCAGAGGCCATGTGCTTAATATCCTCATTCATTTATGAAAAACCATCACACATACATATATTTCTCTTTTAACAGAAAGTCAGAGCCAAAGGGTGCTTTTTGTAAAATCAAGGATTCACCTATTTTTGTCATCATTATTCAAACTTGATGGTCTTAAACATTTTGTGATAAAAAAAAGCTAAATACTTACTTATCCAATATGCACTGCACCAGCAAGCTCTCCACATCAGCTACATCTATGTTTAACTCCTAAGACAAAAGACTCATTATAATTCTACTAATTAACTTTTTTTAAAAAGTCATAATTTTATATAAACAGTTATTCTGATTTTAAAGAACAAATTTCATTATCACTTCAAAATATTTCTGAGAACACAGATATAAGATATAACTTTGCAACATTTAAAGTACATTCTTACCACAATTTCATTATGGTTGGGGTTAAACCTTGGTTAATTATATATTTTAGTCTCCCTCTCTTCTATAATTTTCTCTGAGGCTTAAGAAATTTAATAATCCTTATTTCTCTTTTCTGTTAACTCAATTTATACCAAGAAAACACAGAAAAGTATCCATTAAAAACAAAGCTTTTAAGTTATGTTGCATTTAAGAAATGTACTGCTACAAAAGGTTAGAATTACTCTTCGAAATGGAAGACAGGTATACTGCTTTTATAACTACAAATTATAAATATTAAAATCTATGAATGTAGTACCTTAGAAATAAAAGGAATATGTATTCTTGTGTAAGGCTTAATTAATTTTATGAGCACTTGTGTTCTGATGTTCCTCAAAAGCTCTGGAAAAAAAAAAGGGACAAAAATTAAGTTAATACACTTGCATTTTAACAGTTTGTATATCTTTATGAATTATCATGTACTTTTAAATCATATTAACTATATCATTTATCTTCTCAAAATATATCCGTCTCTCTGGCAAGGAAAAGGTATCTGGATCTAAGAATATTTGGGTCCAACAGATACATAGTATGATTAGAGGCTTCTCCATAATTTTTTGTTACCACTTCCCTACTTCTGCTCATGTGAGACACTACCTAAAATATTTCCCTACATTCTCAGTAATACTACACTACTCATCACTTCCTCTACAGGTAACATCTTCCAAGAAGTCCTGATTCACACCAGCCAAGTTCCTTACATTATGCTCCCTCATAAAACACAGAGTATGATATTTTATACAGTGATTTTATAATTTTCCCAAGTTTCTTCACATTCAAGTGTCTCTTCCAAAATGACTAGACTGAAATTCATGCATAAGGCTTCTACATTTTTCTATATCCACAAAGTATAGTATCATCCTAGGTTCAGAGAATAACTTCAAAAATGTTGAATGAAAGAGAAAAGGAACGTGGGGAACACAAAACATTACTTCCAAAGCAGTCTTCAGATTTTCCTGATGCACCGGGAATTTTCAAGTATTTAAATAAGTAGTTCCAAATGGTCATTTAAAAACCCTCAAATAGCTTCATAACAGATGGGAACACTGGAGGTATAAAAGAGGCCCCAGAACAAAAGAATGTTTTTTTGTCTTTGTGAATCCAACAGAACTTATTAAAAATCTCATATACTTACAGTTACAATGTTAGTCTACCTTTCAAAGTAAATGCATCTCAGTATTATCTATAGCAGGCTGTTTTCAAAGCTTTTGTTACTTCTCAAAAATAAATCTCAAAAATCAACTTTGAACCTAATCATCAGTAAAATACATGCAACAATATCTAAATTAGACTAAAAAGGTAAAAGGGGCAACCAATCTTATATGAAATGGTCATCATGTAAGTAACTGATTATGTTAATAACATGAAACTGGCTAATGATTTCTTTAAAACACCTTTAAAATTTCAGGGAGTATCCTATACCATGACAATGTTTACAAACATTTCTACACTTGGCAATAAACAGAAGAGATACAGCTTAGTTCTGTTCAGCCATTAAAAAGCACTGTTTAGACAGTGACAAAGACAGTGACAGTAATAGGATCCAGGTAGTCAAAAGAATATACCTTCAATGTGTTCCCTTATGAAAGGATCATCCATGATGTTGCTGTGGTTTGTTTTCAGAATCTTTTCAAATTCAGTGATGTCATTATTCTGATAGGCACTAACAGACAAAGAAAAGCGTATATTGTCAAACATGAAAACATCATGTATCAGAAGGGCATTTTTCAATTTTTATATGTAAAAACCTAAATTATACAGTTTTGGTCATAGGAATCAGAATTAAACACACACATATCCTTCTGCAAATAAAATGAATTTCTTTTAATGCTTTTCAGTTTTTTAAAAGAAAGATTAAATAAATCTTGGGGTTATATGTTTATATATAGCAAATTTAAATCTCAAAATCTGGGTATTGTTAGAAATTGACAATAGTTCAGTGACTGTTTAATGCTTGATGCTTTCAAATTAAATTGTGCATTTAATACCTAAGAAATCAAAGTTTCATGCATACTACTGAATGAAGGAGTTTGAACTTGTCTGTCAAATACGACAGTATATCCTTCTGAAGCTTATTCAGAAACGCAGCTTCCTAATTTTTTTCTTCTAGAAAGCTACCAGCAACTGCCGAAACTTTCCAAAGGGATATTTGATTCTCAATTCCTTAGCTGAGAATTTCACTCAGTTATACAGCAGAAAATTGTATCAGTGGTGTGTCATTAGTGCCAAATGGAACACACATGCGAAGTAGAGTGCTGGACCCTGCTGCAGAAGGCCAAAGGCTGATTTATGTTTGTGATTCTCTCAGGTATCTAGTATCTCGTCCTGAAATAATTCTGTAAGGCACTATAGGAATTGCTAAAGGTGCTGAGAAGGAAGAAGCCAACCTTCTGGATATGGCACCACTGTCTGCTTTATATGTAAGACATATCAGCCATTCTGCACGCCCTCTGCTGTGCTTCCATCTGTTGGGTCGCAATGTAACTTCATGTTAGGGGCAGGTGATTCAAGTGCTTCAACAGGAATTATTTTCCTCTAGTCTGCTGGCAACTGACTAGGAAGATAAAATTAGGAAGCATTACTTTCTTACCTACTCCAAATATACTATAGTAATATACTACAGGAGGATATATTCAAGTAGTGAAAACACTTGCACACACATTATGTTTTAAGCAAGAGATACTCTTCCATTATTTACGTGGCTTAAAAAAAAAATCATACGCAAAAAGTAAGACACTACAGGCCACTTGTTTGGTTCAAAATTTACCTTTAAAATAAGTTCCCAAGTTCCAAAATAGAGGCTTTATTGCAGTAAATTTTAAGATATAGTAAGTGTATAGTAAATATAGCTGTTGCTTTGTAAAGGTCTCATAAATCAGTTCTTTTAAATCCATTTTAATGGATTTAACCAATTTAATTTAGATAGAATGTTAAGGTAGGGCAAAACTTTCCCTCAATACTTCTTTAAGAGTTTTAAAAGTTTAAGCTGTTGCATCAGCAACTGAACTTTAAAAACAATTTTTTAAAAAGTATTATGAAGTTAATTAATTTCTAACAAAATCACCCTCTTAGTTAATATGGCTAAATGTAGATGGAATAAAATGTTTGAAATAAAGATGGAGAAATTTCCTTTTATAACTAAAATCAACTTAATTCAATAAATACTTATTAAAATAGACTAAAGAAATACACAATAAAGACACTGATTTTTTTAAATGTTGCAATTTAGGGTTTTATCCCCTAATCATTCTTAGTTCCCTTAAAATAAAATCTTTATTTTTATAGCTAAAATTAAGATTTCCCTAAAAAAGAAAACCTAGTAACTTACAAAAGGCACTGCCAAGTAAAAACAAAGTAAATGAAAACATTTTACATAATGATTTAAACAATATTATGAAAGAGCTATTTTTCTAAGCATATAAAATTTATATGTAGGTAACTGAATTTATAGTCTGACAGCAATTTTTTTTTAAATTAAAAAGACCATTAAGAGAGTGTCTGGTCATCTAAATTACCTTTACATATCTGCAAAAAAAACCCCTGCCCTATGTCCCTGACTTCATTCTCCATGCCTTAGTAAACTAAGCTATACAATTTAAAACGAAGAACTTGAAACAGTAAGTTTCTCATATTTTTCTATAAAGAAAGCCCATTAAAGCTTGGGATCTATTTTTTTCCAGGCAGAGAGGAAAATTATTCTTGCTCACTAATTTCTTTGGCAAAGACCGGCTCCCCCACTCCCCAGGCCTTTTATCTTCTATAATTTTTTTGATATTAATTATGGCTGGTTTTTCAGTTGCTAAACATCATTAGTTATATATATTTACATAGAAGCTATTAATAAATCTTTAGGTATCTTACCAGTATGACTCCTCTGTTCCTCACCTCAGAAAATTACCTGAGGCAAACTTTAAAAAGATGACTTATTTATCTTGTCAATTGAGAAAATATAAAGGTAACGAAATTGTCTTACTGTAATTCTTGATTTATGTGGACCAATTCTCAACTTTGCTTGGGATTAAGGCAAGTAGAAACAGTAAACATTGTGAAATTATTTTAAAACATCTACAATCACTTTTCTACTGAAATCTACTGATACAGGTGAGAAAAGCAGAATAAATGACTTCAGAAGATAAAAATTTCACAAGCTTTGGTATATTTCAAACTGAAACACAAAAGGAATAATTGTTGAGAATTAACTGAATTCTGAAAAAGGTCTCTCCTCTCTCTCCCCTGTATTCACTGCTTCAAAGAAATTTATTACCTTAACTAAAATATAAAATCTTACCTTACTAAATTCGTCATTGCGAGAATTTCTGGATCATTTTTGTATGGTTTGGCCTAAATACAGTAAAAAAGAAATAATTATGTATATGTACAAAGTTTATTTCCATGAAAAACAGCTGATAGAAATTAATACTCATACCTCCTGTGAGTCAAATGGATTTATTCCCGATTTCATTAGCATATTTGCTAAGACCAAATATTTTAAGCAAGTGGTTCGTCTTGGACTTCCTGATTCATCATAATTCTTGAAGGCTTCAAAAAAGTCAGTGTGTGCCTTTTCAAATTCACCTTCTCTCAAGTGCATTTTACCACCGCATTCTGTAAAGAATAAAAGAGGAGGAAAAAGGACATTTACAGCTCTGTCATAAAAAAGGCTGACCACTTTAGAAAAATCAAATGAAAACTATTTCCATGGTTTCTAGTCTTTTAAATTCTGTAACAGGATCAGTACTAGCCCCAGGGTACATACTTGAACTCTAAAAAGCAAGCTCTTCATTAAATATCAGTCAAGCAAGCATTTGCAAGATCTTCACAACTGAAGTAGAAAGTAATTTTATAAACATTGTAATTCCAAAATAGAACTTATGATGATAAATTTTCTGCTAATATCTTCACTGATAGAAATTCTACTGGACAAAAATTCATCCTAATTTCTTTCTAAGACTTATCATTTCACTGACTTCACTACTTTGCCAATTACTTTCACTAAAACAGTAACAACCTTCAGAGTCATTCAGTTATTTGCAATGACACCTTGGTATCTTCCACGACACTGCCCACTCTTTCCAAACCACTTGCCTCTGATGACGCCCATGATCAGTGGATGAGGGATGGCAGACTTGATGTGAAGTGATTGTTCATAGAGTGCTTTAAGTTTTTTGTTATTTTTCTGTGCTGTGTACATTTGAATTTCCAAAGCATATATTTCTAATAACTGTGTACCCTTTTTCAGGTCATCTTCTCCATCATCAGTCTAGGAAGGCGAATAATAAACTTTAGTCAAGAGAGAATTCAGAGTCATCCTAGTAATTTTTGTTTGAGTTAGCTCAAAATCCTTACATTTATAAACATAAATAAGTTTCTAATTCTCTGTGAAAATGCACTAAAAATTTTAATTGGTAGAGTCCTAAAAAACAACCAACTTTAATGGCCCAAAGGGAACCCACACATCTTTTCTACTTTCCAGTCATTAAGAAAAAAGTGGCCAGAGGTATATTATTATGTATAAAATGTTATATTTGTTTTTAGCTAGGAGGTCATTCCCCAAATCTTCACAAATCTAGATCCACTGATTCAATGAAAAACACCCTCTGAGTACCTTCCTTGTGCCAGGCACTAGGTCTGCCTTGGAGAAGTAAGTTAAATAAGCCAATGTACCTGGCCTAAAAAGTTCACGATCTAGTAGATAAATCTGCCGAGATAAATTACATTATAAATGATAACGATTCTGGTTTAAGCACGAATCAAGTACCCAGAAAAATGGAAGAGAAAGGGACTAACTCTCCTGGGAGGTGTCAAAGGAGTAGGGGGAAAAAAAAGAGTGGTGATATTTGAGTTCGACTTTGAAAGATGACCAACAGCCACAAAATGCAGGCAATGAAAAACAGCATATGTTCAACAGTCAGATAATCATAAATATCAAACATCAACTTACACAAAGTCAAAATTTATTGGGTTGGCCAGAAAGTTCGTTTGGTTTTTTCCCATAAGATGGCTCTAATAGTGTGTAGTTGTCTTTAGCTTCATTTGAAACAATTTCATTAGACTGTATTGTGATGGCTGTCATATCAACGTGCATTAAAAATACAAAAACTTTTCAAAATTGATGAATTTTTACATAGCCGTTTTAATACTGAAGATAAAAAAATACAACGTTTTTGGCATATTATGCTTAACTATTTCAAGAAAGGGAAAAATGCAACTTAAATGCAAAAAAGATTTGTACAGTGTATGGAAAAGGTGCTGTGTGACTACTGAACATGTCAAAAGTGGTTTGTGAAGTTTCGTGCTGGAGATTTCTCGCTGGATGATGCTGCACGGTTGGGCAGACTAGTAGAAGTTTTGATCACTAGACAGCGATCAAATCAATACATTAATTGAGAACAATCAATATTATACCACGTGGGAGATAGCCAACATACTCAAAATATCCAAATCAATAAAGTTATTGGTGAAAATGAAAAATAAGTCTTTTACGGAAGAAACTAAATGGACTTTTTGGCCAACCCAATTATTATTTATTTGGTCTTTCAAAGTAAAATTTCTGTTTAGTTGTTTTAAGTTGGAACAATGAATCTGATTCACTAATGAATCACAACAGAGTAAAAAATATGACCTGAACGACAATGTGTACATTCAGATTATCATGTATCTCTCCTATTGTTATTTACAATTCAGACAGCATTTTCCATATGCACTAAAATAAACCAAGCAAAATTTTCACATTCCTTATGAATATACTGAAAGATCCTCCTCCACTCAGAGATGGCCTCTCTATCATTTCCATTTCATGTGAAACTGAACCCACAGTTGTTTATGCACCAGACTAAGCTTTCCTAAGAATATACAGATTAAAAAAAAAATCATAAATGACTGATCCACTTTGTAAAGCAAAACTACTATGAAATACAAACATTTTTCTTGTTCTTAAAAACTAAAAAAGCAAAACAAATAAAAATATCTGTAGGTGATTAATTTAGAACTCCTTGATCAGCTTTTCTCCCATTCACAAAAACAATGTACATAATTAAAATAATATTACATGGCTTTGGAAGAGCTTAAACTTTTATTTAAAACAGTAGTATTTCTACATAAAATTTAAACTAGTATCAAATAACTTATTGATCAAGACAAAAAAAGGAAATATAAAATTATAGCCCATAGTTAAAAAGTTATAGAGGCACTGTCCAGACCATACAGCTATTCAAATTTACATTAATTAATGAAATATAAAACTTAAGCACCTCTGTCACACAAGCCACATTTCAAATGCCTAATGACATGCAGCTATTGCTACCATATTAGAGAGCATAGATACAGAGTATTTCTAGTATCACATGAACTTCTATTAGACAGTACTGTTATAGGGGATTCATACATTATAATATAAAATGTCTTTATTACATATGTCTACAATATCCTTTCTGATTTTCACAGGATGCATAATTAAATAGGAAAGGCTTATTCTTAGTATTAATGACTGGCCTGTTCATTATTAAAACCTGTGCCTCATCACACAAATACAAGGACTGAAATTAGGTTTAGAATAGGAAGAAACACGACTCAGAAAAACACAAGCTTTTGGTAACTTATTTCCCAAATTTTATTTTTTGGGATGATGCTTGAAGAAAAACACCTCTAAAGCAACGTTTCAAACACAAATTTTTCTTATGCTTTTTTAATATGAGGAAATGTTAATAAAAAAATTAAGGGAATGCTACCTGGCAGGACTGATGTAACTGGCGTAAAATTTTTTGAAGCTTTCCATATTCCTCCCGTTCTAAATACAACTTTCCGAGCTGTAAAGGAAGAAACATTAAAATCAAAAGATTTCAACAGGATACGGTAGGAATCTTTAGGAGAGTTTACTAAGGACACCCACCCACTCCTCAAAAGAAAAACAACATATGTAATTATAATCGTTACCTTTGTGTTTGTCTTAAACCACAGTCTATCATTCTTAGCATCTTTTAAAGCTTCCAGTGTTGTTTCATAGAATTCCTGCAGTAAATCCATCTGACATAAAAAATCAGAATTCTATAATTGTAAACAGCAAATTTGTACCTGTTAATAAAGTTAATTTGAGCAAACTAAAAGTGCATCTTTGAACTTTAATACACATAAGATACACTATCATCTGTATCTTACCAAATCTGTGACAGTCCACAAAATACATATTACAGACCAAATTTACTAATGATAAGTGCCAAGATCTGTTTTTATGTGAGTTTAAAAAAATAAAAACCCAGAAAATATCTAATGCTCTAATAGTATAGGTTTATCCTTTCCACTCTAATAACTCACTTTATATTTTAACGAAAGTACATGACTCATACATAGAACTACTTGTACTGTTATTAATAGTGTTATCTTATTCACTCAATTCTTATTTGGTATGTATTATGTGGCAAACACTATCTCTATTTAATAAGATCAAAAAGTAACAGGGTCATGAGAACAGGAAAATCTGATACTTTCAGAGAAGTTGCCTATTTATCTATGACTACTGATGGCTTGTTGAGTAAGTCAAATGCCACCCACTTAGTACCTAATTCTTGCTTTCAAAAGATAAACAGCTTACATATAATAGTTGGATCAACACATAATCTTGAAGTTTTATAATTACATAACCCCTGCCCACACCCACCTGACGTAACGTTTATAGTGTACTAAAAATGTTTTGTTGATACCTGTCTGTAGAACTCAGAAAACATTTTCCCACTTGAGACAAGCCCCTTGATATATAACACTTCTAGAATTAGTGTGATTAAGTGCAAATGTTCTAACAAAACATGTAAGTTTATTCTCCTCTACTTTCATTACATATATTTTAGATATAGAGTAAAAATAGTATACTATCTCAAGAAATTAAAATGACATCTAGTAGAAAAGACAGAATGAAAGAGGCTGATTCTGTGATGAACATTTTTTATTATGAATATAAAAGGTATCCAATGTCCTAAGATATACTAAATGATATAGAGAATACTTCTTATGCTCAAATACCATACTGTAAGAAAGCTAAAAGTTAGGACTGACTACGTTGCTTAAAGGAATATGAACAAACACTCCAATTAAAAATTATCTTAGCAATAAAATAAAATCATTGCTTTGCTTAATAACCGAAATCTAGAATTATGAAAGCACCATCATCCCCAATGATCACTGTAGCTTCTTTATCATCAGCCCTTCCTTTCATCATCCATCATCCACACATTGTTTATAGAAGGAATTTTTGAACAAATACCTAATGAGCAATGCCAAGCACTAACTATATGAGTACAGGTTCTCCCGTTAAGGACCTTTCAAATCTATGCAAATCACCTATGATTCTCTGTTAAGTATTTAACTAGCTCAGGATGGCTAGCTGAAGTGGTGATAGATTAGAAGGAGCCATGATAGTAACTGTTAATGGGAATCTCATACAAGCTGGTAAAAACTGTGTGCAGACTATGTCAGTATTTAAACAGATTAAGCTAGAATTAATACCTTTTAATATTATATAATACTGTTATTAAGAAAACAGTATACTTTATTTTAAAAGCATAGTAATAACTAGAATAAATGCTTATATAGAACTTCTAGGCCTTAAAAAAAAACACCCTACAAAGCCTTTAATATAAATAATAAACACATTGATAAGTACCCAAAAGGAAAACCAGAATCTAACCTGTTTGGAAGTGGAGATATAATCAAGAATAGAATTAATGGATTTTTCAGAATAATTTCTTGTGACTGCACTTCGAATATAGGTCAATAGTTGTTTATATCTGTTCATCATTTCTGGAAAGTTCGTCTGTGAGGGAAGAAAAATGCATTATTAGGTACACACATTTATGTACTAAGATATGTATACATGATTAAAATGATAGTATATATTACAACATAATTAAAAAATATTAGTTTTATATAGAGAAACTATGACAGAACTACTATAAACATTTTAACTTAAATTTGAAATTATTAGATTACTGAGACACATGAACCAAATTTATGAAGTTAGCTTATGCAAAAGTACAACTTTTAGATTTTCCATATTTCACATATTGTTCCTCACTGCACAACATATTTAAGTCATAAAAACTACTGAAATTTTCATAAACCAAAAAAAAATTAAATAAATCCAACTTTTTAAATGTCTTGGGTACCAGCTATAAAGATCAGCTATTATCCTGTTCTGAAGATTTTACTCCTTCATTAGGAAGCTTTCTAACCACAGTCACATGTTTCTTTCTCCCTATTTCTGACCGACTATGCATTAAAACACAAAGTAAAAGAATCTCTTCAAGTCCAGGTATTCATCCCATTATCAAGAAAAGCCTTCCCATTTAAGGCTCTACTAAAAAGTTGATATAGGTAACACTGCTATTCCTTGCAGCACTATTTGCAATACTACGGTCATTGCAGGAAATATAAAAGATCTGAGGAAACAAATGACTACTAGTGAAATTTCCAGCACAAGTAGTGTAGCGGAGGGTATATCACTTCTCAAAGCGTACCACATAAGCAATCTTATGAGTATAGCCTTAAGTTTGCATTTACTGTCCTCACAATCGCCAGCTGCTAGTATTCCCCCTTTTTACTGGGTTCTCTACTTTTACTCAAGGAAATGGAGCACTGGCAGATACAATACTTTTTTTTTGACTAACAAAGAAGTGTTTATGAGTGTAAAGAATAAACTAATGATACTGCAATTTTCCTGCTTATGACTGTGTCCTGCTTAGGGAATACAGCATGAGGGACAAGAAAAGAAAACATAAGAAGGCTCCCTAAAATCTTCTAAGTAAGACTTGAATTACAAAAATGAAAAGAGCGGTAGGAGTGGGTGGAAAAAATGGGTAGAAATGGAAAAAGCTTTGGCATTATCTATCAAACTACTTTTGTTTCCAAGTATGCCAGTAGCAAGTAGGGGTAAAAAACAGGTAACATCTCTCAGTACGCTGCTAAAACCCAAGTTATAGAACGTATTTGGTGACGAAAGGAAAATCAGAAATATGATTGTCCCAATTTTGAGATTACATTTTGATACTGAAATAGGAGTTTAAAAGATTGTTTTGAATTCATTTTCGTATGCTGTAACAACTTTGAATGAAGTTCACTTTTCAAAAATTGTTACTTATTTAAAGACTGAGGAAAGATTAGGTAAATTAGTTTTATCTGCAGTGGTGAACACATAGAGCAGTTGATAATGAATCCTTCCAATTTTATACCGCCCAAGACCCCCCTGAGCAACATGGGTGCTGCTCTGAAATAGACAGACAATGAGGGGGCAGGAGTGGAAGCTGAAACCACTCTTGTAGACTGCCACATATGCACAGATAACTGCTAGAGCAAATAAAATGTATAAAAGAAAGGTAGGCAAAATAATATAATAAAAAAAGAATCCTTTCCCTTACTTGCTTCCTACCTTGGTTCAAGGTAAAATGAAACCCTGTGAGTAGCATACGATTAAATGGGTTCAAAACCAAAACAATTCTTAGTATGTTAAGATAGCAGATTTCTTTAATTATAGTAACATAATTTTTACAGAGTTTCTGGGTAATATTTCTAATCACAGAATCTTAAGAGTTAAACACTGGGCCCCTAATCTCATTATAATTACTTAATCAAAATCTCTATCCTTTGAGACATCTGATGCTTCTTCAGTAACTCAGTTATTAACTTAAATATAGTAAATATTTTTACAAACAATAAATGGAAAGAAAGCACAGGGGTTTTGTGCAACACGCAGATACTTTGAGAATATCAGAGCAGCAGAACTAGAAAGGATAAACGCAACACAGATATTTTTCCTTAACTATACTTAAATGCAATATACAATACACTTAATAACAGCATGTTTGAAACAGTCCTGATATTTTGGGTGGGGGAGGGGGGAGAAATAAGCTGAATTGTTTTGTGGAAAGCTTTTATAGACATCACAGATGGTCCCTCCTGCTACAGGTGGGTGAGGATGCCAGAGTGAGGGTACACAAAGAAGAGCAGGATGCAAGATTAGTGAAGTTAAATGGATGAAGGCACTAATCAATTCAGGGAGTTCAATTTCAGACAGATGGCACAGAGAAGCTAATGGGGAGAAAGAGGATGCATATGTTAAAAACAGAGATGGGAAGAAAAAGAAAGTGGTAACAGATTATCAGCTATCCTTCCATTTGCCATAGAGGAAAATGTTTACCTCTGCTTGCTAATCTAAGCTCCACATTTTTGTCTCAAAAGTTCCCCTACCTTCAGTGGTCTTTAGATGTATGTCTGTACCTAGTCCTCTTATCTACTAACTGCTTCTTTTTCCCTCCACTTTTATTCTGCATTTTTGGAATCTAGAAGAGTACAATGTCACAACAAGGCCAGCTTATCTATGAGTTCATTCAACAAAGTATTTAAGCACCTACTAAATGCTAGCTATTATGATAGGTGCTAGGAATACAACAATGAATAAAACAAAGACCTGCTCTCATGGAACTTTCAACCTATGGGTTCGGGTGGGTTGGGGGTGGCAGAAAGGCAAAAAATAACTAAATAGATCAAGTGGTGATACATGCAAAGGAAAAAAGACAGCAGGGTAAGATGAAAGTAAATAATGATGGGAAGGATGCTATTTTACATAGGGTGGTCAGGGGAAGGACAACCAGATAAACGGTGACGTTTGAATAAAGACTTGATCCATGAGGAAAACAACAATATGGCTATCTGGGAGGGGCATATGGGGCACAGAAGACAGTAAGTACAGCATTTACAGAGGAATGTGCTCGGGTAGCATTAAGAACAGGAAAGAGGCCAGTTAGGGACAGAAAAGAAAACAAGGTATATTTTGAAAAGATATAAAGCCACCTGTATTTACCAATAAATTATTTGTGGGGTGAAAGATAGAGAGAGGAATTAAGAGTGATGTTAAGATTCTGGCCCTGATCAGTGGAAAAGGAACTCTTTGTTATAGAAAGTAGAATGGTAAAACTCCCAAAATAAACACTAATAGTTTGTGGGAAAGTTACTCTATTAATAATGCAGCCAAATATTGTCCATATACCTGAAGAATAAGTTTTCTTAAAAACCTCTGTTGAAAAACAAAACAAAAACTTCATATGTTTGCTCCTTAGTATTACTGTAGTCAAAAATGAAAAGCAGTCCAAGTATGAAAACATATAGTTATTTTAGAGAAGTAGATATAATGGTATTTTGTTGCAAGAGGTTTTTACCTACAGAATTTATTTTAAAAATTACTAGTTTAATTTTCCTCAAAAGAAATCTTACCAACTTAAAGTTAATCTTAATCATTTGTTTCAGTGCTTTAAATCCCCATTCTCCTTTTTCGCCTTCAAGTTCCAAAACCTAAAAAAAAAAAAAAAAAAAGTTAGTCTAACTTAATCCTGTTATTTTTTCTAATGATATTCAATGTCTAAGCTTTGAATTTATTTTACATCATATACATGAAAAATATTTCCTCAAGAATTTCATTTTTCAAAGAAATGAGTCTTAAAATGTTTACCTAAGTGAGCTTATTTTGAAGTTCGTTCATCAAAAGATAAAATAAGAATTACTTATTATATAGTTCTAGAAGTATTTTTTTCCTCTGAATAATCCATTGGTGAGAACAATCCAAAACTGTATCAATTGTTAGTAAGTCACAGTATTTAATAGTGAAACCACATCTTTGTAATCTGTCCTCCAAAGAAGAACAAGACTGCAGGGATAATACCTATTAGTTGTCATCTTGGTCCCCCTACCAGAATCATACTAGCTTTACAGGATAATCACATGGGTCTACAGACAGCTTGATTGGAAATAAAGCAAACTTATTTTATAGGATCATCACTAAGTATCCAGTATACGTTTCTGAGAAAAAAAATCACTTGGAACTTATTTGATCTAAGACATCATTAAAAATATAAACTTTTAAGACACAGAATCAACCAGAAAAAATATGAACCTTCTGAAAACTGCTTAATGCTGCTTTTGGGTCATCTTCCTTTAATGCTTTGGAGTTATAGTATTGATTTTCCAAATCCACATTTGGCTCGGAGTTACTATCTTCTGAGTATTCCTGTATGTTGGGGAAAAACAGATGTTAAAATGAAAAAAGAAACCCACACACTGCATTGTAAAAACTAAATATTGCTAGGATAGAAAAATCATATGTTTATACAAAACAAAACAACCTTGAATACACAGGTAAAATGTCCTAGATATTTAAACATTATTTTAAAAAATTAGGGAAAAAGCCAAAATCATTTGGATAGTATAATCAAGTCATTTCTTCATTTCATATCAAAACAACAATATGATTTCTAAAGAACCACCACAAAAGCAAAGTGCAAAGAAATAATATTGGTTAATGACTCCCAATTCTGTTAAATGATCTTTTGTTAGTTATACGAAACCTGATGAAAATCTACATGCTAATTATTCATCTTTAGTTCCATAATTGAATTTTCTTTACTATCTAAATTTCATCATTTTAACACATCTTAACTACTTGGGATAATCTGTATATGACAGAGTAGTCTATTGATAAATATATTAACAATAATATTTGCCTTATGAGCATTCCATATTAATAAACAGCTGTTCAGTCACATTAATGTATTTTAACTACTTCTATAACAGATCAAAATATGTACAACAAAACAAATTTATATAATTTTATGTAACTTTCATTACATAAACTTAGTTCCTAGTACTTAAGTAAAGCAGAAAGGAAAATTGGAGTAAAACAACTATTTTGTGGAGCAGTATAAACACAAGTCTAAAGATAGTTCCCAACCCTGGCTGGTGTGGCTCAGTGGATTGAGTGTCAGCCTGTGAAACGAAAGGTCGCCAGTTTGATTCCCAGTCAGGGCACATGCCCAGGCTGGGGGCCAGGTCTCCCGCTGAGGGAGTGCAAGAGGCAACTGATTAACACACTGATGGTTCCTCTCCCTCTATATCTCCCTTCCTTCCCCTCTTTCTAATAATAAATAAATAAAATCTTAAAAAAAAGTTCCCAGATATTCAATTTAATGATGATTATAAAATACACATTGATTAGTATAATGAAATTACTATTTCAGGAAGACAAGATTATCTTCTTCAGCTACAAGTCATTACAAAGGCAAGTTTCTAACAAATTAAGAATAGTACCTGGAAGTAAACACACACACACACACACACACACACACACACACGAACAGTATTGTAGAGTTATTTCTAAATCCAAATGCAGTTAATAGCTCTTTTTAGAGCTATTTATGGAAAATAATACTGTAATGTTTCAAAAGGCACAAGAATAAAAAAGGTATATACTGAGTGTAGTGTTAAAAAGCTGAAAAATACATAAATGTAAGATGAATTTTTCCTGTGGGGCAGGTTTGGTGTTAGCATAACACCAGTTTTATCTGACCACAGTGACTTTGTTAACGTGCGCCCTCTGGAGGATAATTCTTTCTTTGTAAGGACACAGAACACTGGCACTCAGCACCACCGATTTAAGAAGAGCAATTTAGTTATGTTTAACATGAAAATCCTCTGGAACACTCAGGGATAAATCAAATTTTGGGTAATGAATAAATTTCATAATCAGTTATTCACTTCTTAACCTTGTAATCTAGGTTTGACTACAATAAAACTGATCAAACTAAAAAACAGTATGAAGTCAACTTGTACATCCAGTGATTGCCTCTGAGCTAGGTTTTGAAAGATAAATTGGAGTTTGCCTGCTATATAAAACAGGAGAGGGTAAAAAGAACGGCAGATATAAAACAAGGATAGGAGATAACTAAAGAAATAAAAGCAATCATGTTGTTGGAACATAAAGTCTTACTGATTCTACCGTCAGCACAATCTACCCATTCCCCACCCTTGCCCCATTCTTGCCTACCAGGCCCCTTTCATCTCCCCACAGACTGTAATAACCTTCCTACTCTCCTGTTAGCCTTTAAATTCCAATCTTGCCATGGTAAGCAGCCAGACTAATTTTCATAAAATGTGAATGATCTCATTCCTTTTTTGAAAAATGCCTTTCCACTGTTCTTAAAATCAAATCCAAAAATCGCCATAATCTGACTCCTCACTATGCATCCAACTATATCTCCTATTAAACTCTTCCCTTACTCACTTTGTTGCAACCAGTCTGGCCTTTCCGACCTTTACATGCCATTCCCTTCTCTTTCTACCTCTCTTGCTTTGGTTAACTACTGCAAATAATTACAGCTTAAGTGTCATCTCCTCAAGGGAGACTTGGTGTAAAGCATCAGCTGTAAAACCTACTCTACACCTTTGGAAATCATTTCTACTTTAATTATCTGTTCAATAACATGCAGCAACAAGTAGCTCAATCAGAAAATGACTTGTCTAATCTAAATCTTCAGAGTCCACCTCTGAACCTGAAAGTAAAATTTTTTTAATTTACATCTATTCCAAAGTCTAAGAATCTAGCCTCTCACTCAAAAGCCATTTATTTTTGGTGTCTTTTCCCATAACAGATTAGAAATACACAACTAGATCAGGATATGAGAAGGAAGTAGAAGTTGAGATACATGTGATGGTAGTAGGATGTGGAGCTGCAAGCAAAGGGGAAACTGAAAATATCTTAGCAATTAAAAAGGTTAACTTCAATTACCTAGTGGTTAGTGAAATGACTGTAACATTGCTGAAGACCAGAACCTTTCCGCTTCCCACCACGTCTGACAGAGTGCCTCCTTGTCATTCAATCACTGAATGCCTCCTTCGTACAAGATTAGTGACCTAAACTGCTGGGACCTAACTGGCTGCAGACTAATGTTATTTCTAAACTTTAGATGTTGTAACTCCCCAAATCACAATAATCGACATAAGACTTACTTCATCATTTTGTGAATGTGTTCTTTTGGTTTTGGTTATTATATAGATTAAGAAGAGGAATGTGTAATTTTTTTTTTTTTTTTTTGCGTAACTGCAATTCAACTGTTAAATGCTATTGCTTCAATGTGTAAATACATGAGAATTGGCAAAACTGATGTGTTACTGATTGGCTTTCTAATAATTGGGCAAATTTTTGTTTTGATCTGCAACAACCATTTTCATATGGTTTGAACCAGCCTCCATGACATCATTAACCTGTCATTTGTGGCTCATGAATCATACCATCAATACAAACTACGTAGTACAGCAAACTTAAACTGATGACATTTTGGAAAGTCTTTAATTCTGTTCAGATTTCTATTATTTATACTCAGTGACAATGATCTTTAGCATTTACCAGCAACTAAGTACTACTCAAATACAAATTATTTCCCTTCAAGCTACTCAGGGACTGAGACAGATATGCAAACGAAACAGCAATATAATACAATAAAAGTAGTAATAGACACACATACTACATACAGTGGCAACTCAAAAAACGAGTAATCAACTACTCTTGAGTGAGCTACAGAAAGCAGAGGTTACCTCAACCAACTCTAAAAGTATGAATAGGAGCCCTGGCCAGTGTGGCCAGTGTGGTTCAGTTGACTGGAATGTCACTGAAAGGTTGCGGGTTCAATTCTGGCCAGGGTTGTAGGTTAGGTCCATCTGGGGCTTGTGTGACTGGACTGACATTTCTCTCACATTGATGTGTCTCTCTTTCTCTCTCCGCCCCGCCCCCTCTAAAAATCAATAAGCCTATCCTTGGGTGAGGATTATAAAAAAAAGTATGACTAGGACTTGCTAGGGATGAGGAAGGACATCTGAAACATAGCAATCAATGTGTGCAAAGGCACAGAGGCTTGAAATAGTATTGGATATTTGGAAGAACTGTGAATAGCTTGATCGGGCTGAAGCACAGGCTGTGTGTAATGAGATGATGTGAGATAAATTAGTATAGGACAGAGCAACAGGACTATGTAAGTCTACCAAGGACTATGGTGTCAAATGGAGTGCCATTAAAAGATTTTACAGAGAAATAATCACATTTGTGTTTTAGGAAGAGACCTCTGGTAGCAATGAAGTAGCCCACTAGATACTCTTAACAGTCTGGCCAAGAGATGATGGAGGCCTGACTCCAAGTGGTAGAACAGGGAGAAAAGGAAGGGGACAGAATTAATATGGAAGATGTAAAGTGATGTTGAATGTATGAAATAGAAAGCACCCATCACATGAGAATAAAGGAAAACACATTTATCTCTAATGATTATAGTACCATTAGTCAGAATAGGGAGTATGAGTATTAACTAAATTGCTAAAAGAATTGTCATTTGTGAAATGAATAAGAGATAACCATAATTTGTAAATGTTAATTTTTTTTTTTAAAGTCCTGGCTGGTGTGGCTCAGTGGTTTGAGCTCTGGCCTGCAAACTAAAAGGTTGCTGGTTAGATTCCCAGTCAGGACACATGCTTGACTTGCAGACCAGGTCCCAAGTTGGGGGTATGTGGGAGGCAACTGACTCCCACACATGTAATGTTTCTCTCACACATCAATGTTTCTCTGTTTCTTCCTACCCCTCTCTCTAAAAATAAATACATAAAATCTTAAAAAAAAAATCCAACCACACTTTTTTTTATAATTCTCCTCCAAGGGTATGTTTATTGGTATTATATGTTGGGAAATGTCCTGTCTGGTTTCAATAACTGTAGCCCTGTTGACAGGCAAGAGGGCCCCAAGGCTGAAGCTAAGCAAGGAAGCCTTGGGAAAACAGACCACTGAGGAGACAAAACCTGTCTTCCTGGTATCACATCGTATCTCTCTCACATCACCCTGCTCGGCCCTAACGGATGGCTGGTTAGTCAATGATGGGTAAGACCCCTCGATGGAAGGGGCAACCTAAGACAGGCACAGCCGCAATGGGCATCAGGGAAAAACTTGGGGGGCATGGAGAAAGGGCAAAAAGACCCTCACCCCTTGGCTTTGGTATGGCCTGCGGGGGCGGGGGGCTCATTCTATCTGAAAGAAGTCTTCTCATTTCTTGGTTGCCCTGCCCTTCCCCTGCCCAGCTCAGGTTTGAAACAATACTGGAGACAGCCCTAGACTGGATCTGGCAGTTCCCAGGGGAAATAAGGCCTAGGAGTAAATTCTTTAAAGCGAGCTTTGTTCTTGCCTCAAAAGCTATGATAACCAGCTCATGCTGGGAAGGAAATTTACATTATTCACAGACCCTGACCCTAAACACTTTGGAGCTCTTATGTTTACATTCTCATGCATACTCGTCTCATCTTGGGCCCATGTAAATCGGTGTGTTCCTGCCATTCGTTTTCTTCAAAACATCATCTATTCTCTGTAAACATTAACATACTGATGTAATGAGATCACCTGTACATTCCTATTACCTAGCCCTATTGATAACCTTTTCAATAAAAGCCGTTGGACACAGGGGCTCAGGGCCTTCTCCACTAGAAGGAAGAGCCATGTCCCCTCTCCTGGCAGACAGAGAAGTTTTCTGGGATGACTCATTGTGTTTCCCCCATCTGTGACAACCCCAGGAAGGGCTCTGCAAGATCAGAGCCCACGCTCCCACCTCAATTAGACAGAGCGAGAAAGAGAGAGACATTGATGTGAGTTAGAAACATCAATCGGTTGCTTCCCGTGCACACCCTGACAGGGACTGAACTGCAAACTTTTGGTGTACAGGATGACACTCCAACTAGCTAAGCCACCTGGCCAGGGCTAATTCATGTAAGTTTAAATAAAATGTTTTTTAAGAGAGACTGAAATTGAAATTTTAATATATTAAGAATGCTTTAAAATACAAAGAAGAGTTTAAGCAATATTTGAAAAAGAAACAAACACTTGAATATTGTTAAAGGTATTAAAACCCCCCCCACTAATAGTTCCAACCTACTTATGTAGTAACTCATATCCTGCAAGCTCCCCAAAACAATCTGAAATCCATCCACATCACCCAAATCTATTCTGCCTTTCTCAAAAATGCCACACAATTTAAAATCTCTGCTTTGGCATAAACCTTTCCTCTCTCCTAGGAATTCTAAACCACCTTCCTTCATAAGAAACTTCCCACTTTTCTCCTATGATGCTCCTCTGCCCTAACACTCCTAGGCAACATATTCATCAGGGCTTACTTTGTGATTCGTTCTCCAACTCTTCTTGGCAAAATAAATATTAGTCAAGCTTTTACATGATATGCATGTCTCTAACACGGACCTTGTGTGTATGTTCTCTCCCCTCAGCTGCCCTGCCATGAACTTCTCGAAGGTAGGAACTTTTTTCTTCCTCATCTTGTTATCCCCAGAGCCTGGTATATTACAAACTGCAGAGTAAGTGTTTGTGTAATTAAAAAGAAAAGCAGCTGAATGTTCCAAAATAACATGGCCCACATTAGCCAGCAGGCAATTTTGACTCTATGTCAGAATGTATCTAGTTACTACTGAATAGAGTTGGTTCTAGAGTTCATCTATTTATTCCTGTGTCTGCTGCCTATAGAGGTCTTGAGTAATGTGCTCTAAGGAAACTTCTGGTCAAGACAGAGGCATAGGTAAGCACACTTTGCCTCCTCAAACAACCACAGATTACAACTAGATCTTGAAACAACACCCAGAACCATCAGAAAATTGAGTTGTATGGAAGTCTAACAACCGACGATTTAAAGCAGCTACATTCATCAAATGGGTAGGAGAGGTGGAGAGGCATGGAGATGTGGTGTGGCAGGGAAAGGCAGCAGCAGAGTGGGTGGTCCCACATTCACGTGTGGTGGATGCATAAAAATCAGGAGGGATACCTTGGGAACGAGCGATCCCAGTGCCAGGACAGACTACATAGCCCAGGGTTACAATGCCAAGATAAACTCCCATGACTTCTGGCCGTAAAAATCAGTGGGAGTGGGGGTTGGGGTTGTGTAAGAAACAGCTGGATTTTCAGGACACTCCCTTTAAAGGCCCGGCATGGACTTAAAATGTATGCAGACCCACTGCCTCTAAGACTCAGCATGAGGGCAACATCTGGAAGGGCACCAGTCACACAGGGCAAGTGCCAGGCAGACCTCCAGAAGCCAGGCAGCAATGCCGTCCTTTTCTCGAAATGCCTCCCACTCCCAGGCCACAAAGCACTGCCTTGCCCTAGTGATTACTGAAGGCTCTGTTCCAAACAATTTTCAGGAGCCTTCTCTACAATAGGCTATGCTACCAGAAAGGGAATTAAAGCAGCTATACCTAATACACAGAAACAAATACAGGAAGGCTGCCAAATTGAAGAGACAAAGAAATATGGCCCAAACAAAAGAAGAGAACAAAACCCCAGAAGAACTAAATGAAACAGACAGAACCAACCTATCAGATGCAGAGTTCAAAACACTGGTGATGAGGATGCTCAAAGAATTCACAAAGCACAGCAACAAAATAAAAAGACCCAGGAAGAAATGAAGGTTACATTAACTGAAATAAAAAAAGATAATCTACAGGGAACAGTGAAGGGTATGAAACCAGGAACCAAATCAACGATTTGGAACATAAGGAAGAAATAATCACTCAACCAGAACAGCAAAAAGAAAAAATAATTTAAAAAACCCCCCAAAAACAACAAAGAGAGGCTTAGGAGCATCTGGGACATCTCCAAATGTACTAACATCCAAATCATAGGGATGTCAGAGGAGAAGAGGAAAAGCAAGAAACTGAAAACTTATTTGAACAAATAATGGAAGAAAACCTCTCTAATTTGGTGAAGGAAATAGACATACAAGCCCAGGAAGCACGGAGAGTCCCAAACAAGTTTGGCCCAAAGAGAAACACACTAAGACACATTACAATTAAAGTGCCAAAGGTTAGAGATAAAGAGAGAATTTTAAAAGCAGTAAGAGAAAAGCAGAAAGTTACCTACAAAGGAGTTCCCATAAGACTATCAGCTGATTTCTCAAAAGAAACTTTACAGGCAAGAAGGGGCCAGAAAGAAGTATTCAAAGTTATGAAAAAGAAGTACCTACATCCAAGATTACTCTACCCAACAAAGTTGTCACCTAGAATCGAAGGGCAGATAAAGTGCTTCCCTGACAAGGTAAAGCTAAAGGAGTTCATCATCACCAAGCCATTATTACATGAAATGTTAAAGGGATTTACGAAAAAGAAGATGAAAACTATGAACGAGGCAACAAATTTAAAACTATCAACAGCTGAATATAAAAAACCCCCAAACAACTGAACAGGAATAGAATTGTAGGCATGGGGATCATTTGGAGGGTTATCAGGTAGCTGAGGGAAGGGAGAAAATGTGCAGGGATTAAGCAGCATAATTGGTAGGTACAAAACAGATGGAGGAGGAGGGCGGATGTTAAGAATGATATAGGAAACAGAGAAGCCAAAGAACTTATTATCATGACCCATGGACATGAACTAAGGGGTGGAGGACTGCTGGAGGGAATGGGTGTCCCGGATGGAGGCAGGCAAAGGGGGAAAACTGGGACAACTGTAATGGCATAATAAAAAAATATATTAAAAAAACAGAATCATCCAAGATTACTCTGTCCAGCAAAGCTATCATTTAGAATGAAAGGGAAGATAAAGCGCTTCCCAGATAAGATCAAATTAAAGGAGTTCATCATCACTAAGCCCTTATTATATGAAATGTTAAAGGGACTTATTATTTAAGAAAAAGATAAAAAACTATGAAGAGTAAAATGACAACAAACTCACAACTATCAACAACTGAATCTAAAAAGCAAAAACAAACTAAGCAAGTAAGTAGAACAGGAACAGACTCATAGAAATGGAGATGGGGGGGGAAGAATGGGGGAAATGGTACAGGGAGTAAGCACACACATAAAGAGTAGGTACAAAATAGGCAGGGGGAGGTTAAGAATAGCACAGGAAATGGAGAAGCTGAGGAACTTATATGAATGACCCATGGACATGAACTAAGGAGGCGGGGAATGCTGAGGTAAGAGGGTGTGCAGGGCAGAGAAGAATAAAGGAAAACAATGGGACAACTGTAATAGCATAATCAATAAAATATAAATTTAAAAAAAACAAAAAAGCAAAGATGTGCTCTAGGGAAACAAGATTTACTATTAACAATGCTTCCTAAGACTTGGCCATGGCTAGAGGCTGTACTGGATGCTGGGCACACAGGTAAAGGGCAATGTTCCATTCTTCTTTTGTTTTTTCTGAATAGGTTTTATTACACAGAGGGGATGGGGCTCAGTCCTTCTTGGCTGCTGCCTTCCTCATGGCTGCAAGGACATTGCTCAGTTCCTCTCTCTTTCTCTTGGCACGGATGTGTGTCCCCACCCTTTTCTTGATGAATTTCAGGGCCCTCTTGTCCTTAGAGACTTTGAGCAGTTCCATGGCGCGCCGTTCATAGGGGGCAAAGCCACACACCTCTCGGATCATGTCCCGCACGAACTTGGTGTGCTTGGTGAGGCGCCCGCAGCGGCAGCTGTGCCTGGGCTTGCTCACGTTCTTTGTCACTTTATGGCCTTTGTTGAGGCCCACGGCCATGGGGTAGCGGAGGGCCACGGCTGCTGCTCCTCAATGGCTACCGCGGTAGTCTATTCTTAACGACTAGATACAATCCAAGTCCTAGGCAGGCAGCCAGCCATTCGTGATTTAGCCATTCATAAAGTTATTCAAACTTTGAAAAATTTCACTCAAGTTAATGGGTTTTAATTTGTTATCAGTGGTGTAAATTAGAACATTATTTTGTCTTAAATTTTCAGTCTTCAAATTAAACTTTCCAAAGAGAGACATCATAAAAGTCATTAGACCTGGGCTCTAGTTTTGACTCTCCCACTAATTTGTTGTATAAACTTAGGTAAGTCACACTTCATGAGTTAGTTCCTTTCCTGTCAAATGTTGGGGGTGAAACCTTATAGGGAATTTCTAATTCCTGCTGAGTTCTGTGTGTTCATTTTGAGATATAAAATTACAAATTCACTTTGTTGGGGATTCATGGTTTACAGATTTATGTTAGCAGTGAAAAGCCTTAAATTTTTCTTATTCTTAGCCTATAAAAGCTGTCTGCCCCATTACTTATCTTTTTCGTTATCCTTGTTTGAATCTAATTTCGTTATACAGAGTACACTAATGAAGTATGCACCAGGCCTTTTTAAAAATGCACCAAACTTCTATTACAAACTAATACTTTTGTTTGAAGTAGTAACTTTAAGAGGTAGTAAAATTATTCCAGTTATACTGACATGGATGATTAAGTCACACTTCTGAAATTCTCAAGAAAACTAACTTCATTAACCACATGTTTTTAATCTAAAACAGAATTATTCAGTTTGATGGCCTAACTTATCAAAACTGACTCCGAATATAATTTTTGACACCTACAAAAAGGACAAGACCTGGCTACAGCTGAAGTTTAAAAAAACAGAAAAAAAGAAAAGCCATTGGCCCTGGCCAGGCATCTCAGTTGATTAGACTGTCATCCTGATACACCAAGGTTGTGGGTTTGATCCTGGGTCAGGGCACATAAAAGCAGCAACCAATGAGTGCATAAACGAATGGAACAACAAGTTGATGTTTCTTTCTCTCTCCCTCTCTAAAATTTAAAGAAAGAAGGGGAAAAAAGGCTGCACATTTTTTGTAACAGCAAACTAGGCAAATTCTTATCAAAAGGAAACTAAATGTTAAAGTGTGATACATCCATACAACCAACGCAGCTGTAGAAAGAAATAAGTAAGCTCTTTGGATACTTACATGGAATAATTTCTAAGATAAATTAAAAAGTAATGTGTAAAACAATATATATGATGTGCTACATCCTGGTTAAAACAAAAGGGAGGAAGATAAATAAATAAAATCTTTGGGGGAAAAGAAAAAGCCCGGGCTCGTGTGGCTCAGTGGACTGAGTGCTGGCCTGTGAACCAAAAGGTTGCTGGTTCAATCCCCAGTCAGGGCACAAGCCTGGGTTGTGGGCCAGGTCACTGGTTGGGGTGTGTGCAGGTGGCAACTGATTAGTGTTTCTCTCGCACGTCGATGTTTCTCTCCCTGTCTGTCCTTCTCCTTTTCCATCTCTAAAAATAAATACAATAGGGGGAGAAAAGCGGGGGAGATAAAAAAAAGTATGGGGAGGAATGGGAATTGAGCAAATGAAGAACAAAACTGGAAAGGAAAGTTTATTTTTATATTTTTGAATCACATGTACAAAATACTTATTTTAAAAAGCTAGATTCCTCAGATTTTGAAGACAATTTCTAAGACAAACTGTAAAAATTTTGAGCAATGACAAAAATCACTGTTTGGCCTCCCAAGATCAAAGTAAAATTTTTATTCATCATTTGTACCCTGTAACCTGTCCTCTCTTCTCCAGCAATAAAAGTAATATAGACTCACTGTTTTGTAGACTCAAGGTTTGCAAGAAAGAAACAAATTTTAATTTCCTGACAGTTTATTTTCCACGCATTTTTGTTTTTCCTCACTCAACAAAATAAATTTTATTCCCACTCAATAACACTGTAATACAAATTACATATTTATAGTGGAGATGTACTCACTGTATGTGCAGCATTAGCGACAAACCCTTCCTCCACCAGGTGAGGGTTTTCAATTACAGCACTCCCCCCACAGAAGAAAGCAAACCCATCTTCCTCTCTACAGTGAGAGTGGTTCACAGAAGGCCACACAGACCAAGCTGTCCCTTTCTGAGATTTTCCTGTTAGAGCTAGCAGAGAAGACCCTCTTACCTTTGGGCCTATGACACCAGGAAGATGCCATATTACATCTTAGATAAAGTAAAGGCAGTTAAGACAACATAATGAAGAAAGCAGCCCAGGAAGAGAGACAGACACAGTAAAAGATGCCGCACCATCATCTGAGCCAATGAATCCAGCCACACTTATAGTTCTGGTGATGTTAGCCATTACACACTCTTTTCAGTTTAAACTAGTTTGATATGTATTCCTGTCCCTTATTCAAGAGCCCTGACCAATACAATTTATCAAAAGTTTTTCACATCATTGAATATTCTTTAGAAGCATGGTATGAAATGCTGATACAGCACTCCGTCACATGAATATACCATAATTTATCTATCATTACCTTATTAGTATTAATATTACTAGCATTTTCCCACTACTGATAATTTGGGGCTCTTCCCAATTATGCACAATTAAACACATTATGTTTCTTTTAGAAGCCTCAACTGTACAAATTTCACTGTTATGAAGACTACGCAGAATTCCAAATGTGTGTGCAGCATAGAAAACAATGCCCTGGACTCATAAAAGGTATACTGTTTGAAAATCTATTCTTACGGATCTCCAACATTTTGTATGTCAAGTAGTAAGTTACTGGGACAGCAGTCTCAGAATAACCTATAATCTCCTTGTTCCTCCTATATGCACAATGAATGACAAAGTGAGAATATAATAAACACACAAATTCCTAACACTATTCTCCTGCCTTTGTCCTTAATAATATCTAACAGTTCTTTTTCAAATGAAATTGTATATTCTGCTCACGTTGATTCAAAATCTTTTAAAAAAATAGCTATTTTTTGATTTGCTAAATAATGTTCTAAGGTTCCTTATAACATGAGAAACTAAAGTGCCAGCCAGCATTTGTCTGTTGAGCTTGTTAAAATGGTGACAAATAAGAGACTGTGTAATGTATCCTATAGTTAAAGACTCATCTCTCACCTCCCCAAAAAGCAGACAAAAAAGTAGTAAATTTTTAGGGCATTAATACTGCTATATACTAAAACAAGAAAAACAATACTGGTAAACATTCATTCACTAATCATAACTATGAGCTTGACTAGGGCATATAATGAGGCTCACAGCTGGAAATACACTTAACCAAGTGCAATTATTCTATGTTTTTAACAAATTTTTTCCCCTGTAATACATTTAAGTGCAAATGTACAATGCCGTACCTATCACAGGATCTACTAAAGAATAACTTTTGGTATAAAGTCAGTCTGTTTTAAACCCTTTTAAAAAAGAATAGTAGAAACACTAAGCAATTTCATGCTAGAATGACTGGACTGTGGAATTGCCGTACAATAAACTTATCAAAGGTATTATTAACTTAATGAATTGTGCTGTAGTTATTATTTAGTATTATTACACCAGCAAATAATCTACAAATCTGTAAACTTAGCACTGGATCAAAAGACATTTTATCAGTACAATCTCCTATTTCTGCATTCCCTGCTACATAAATTCCCATGCTTAGAAAGTGCCTGCTTCTGCCCTGGCTGGTGTGCCTCAGTGGATTGAACGTCAGCCCGCAAACTGAAGGGTCGCCGGTTCAGTTCCCAGTCAGGGCAGATGCCTGGGTTGCGGGCCAGTTGGGGGCGCACGAGAGGCAACCTCACATTGCTGTTTCTCTCCCTTCCTCACTCCCATCCCCTTTCTCTAAACATAAAACCTTAAAAAAGAAAAAAAAAAGTGCTTTCTTCTGCCTGCAATAAAAATCAACAGATATTAGAAGAGGTCAAGAATACTGACTATCACTTTCACCGACCAGTGTCGCTCAGTGTTGGCTGAGCACTGTCCCACAAACTGAAAGGCTGCCAGTTCAATTTCTGGGCAGGGGAAATGCCTGCGTTGTGTGTTTGGTGTGAGAGGCAAGCAACTGATGTTTCTCACACTGAGGTTTCTTACCTTCTCTCCCTCCCTTCCTCTCTCTCTAAACAAATAAAAACAAACAAAAAAACTGGATTTCTTTTATGTTTGTTTATTTTTAAACCAAGTTGGTTTTTTTTTTCTTTGAGATTTTGGGAACAAAATCATTATTTACTTTCTTGGTTTAAAACAGCATAGTTTTAGAAACAGATTTTTACTTTTCCCAATGGTAGCCTAACTACCCATTTCTACTATGGTGAGGTGGGGGGGCGGGGGGAGTACCTCAGAGTATTAAAATTTATCAAGAGACAACCTATAAAAGATAGGTTGAATATATATGTGGTCAGAAATCCTTATGCCTTTAGTTAACATTTTGACTAAAATGAGGTGATGGGAAAATTTCCAACAAACAATACATTTTTTTAATAAAAAAATAGGTTTCCCTAAAACAACAACTCAATTCTGTAGATGCTTTAAATCTTAAGAAGCAAAAAAAGACCCAGGCAAATAACCATTTAAAAAACAAACCAAAAATTTTTCTTTTACCAACATGTTAGCATGAAATGGCAACCAACACCTTAATCTTTTTTTTAAACATATAATGGTTTAAGGAAATTAAGGCATTAAAAAATAAAATACTAAGTAAATTTTATACTACAAAAAAGAGTTGAACTAGCAGTAAATGGAGCATAAAAGCTTTTACCACTTGATATCTGACTGGGAATCAAAATGGTATCCATGAAAGAGATATAGGGCAAGGGGCAATTATTTAACAGAACGCTGAGGGAAATTTTTTAATTATGTAGTAGTGTAAGGCCTTGCTTTTTTAAAGAAATTTTCAGAAAAGACGAAAGAACTATATATTCAACTTTCTATTTTACATGTAGTATAATAGGCCCTAAAAGGCAGCAGAAAGTTGAATTAAACAATGTATGTTCAATTAAAATTCTTACACAAATTGAGTACTTCATCGAACAGTAAGATTCTCATTGCCTTTCTGACATTATATGCTTAATATAATGATGACCTTCAAGTTAATCATAGTGCTAATAAGTCATGTAGGTTTTGAAGGCTATTACTTAGGAAAGACATAAGCAGAAACATTTAAAAACACAAACATTTAAAAGAAACACTTCCACTGTTACAAAAATTCCTGTAATATAAACATGTAATAAATAAAAATGCATAAGATGTCACAAATAACATATTCTTCATAAACGGAAGACACTACCTACAACTAGTTTAGTTTGCACTAACTAAAAATGTAAGGTGGAAGTCATAATTATTAGCAAAACTTTGCATCTAACTACAAGAATGCTCAAAACCTCTTCTATGACTTTCACCTAATAGCAATCATCTCCCTCGCCCTTTTGCAAATGTGCTTCTTTCAAAATGGAAAGATAAATTGGAAATGACTTTACAAAGTAATTTTATACTAATTCAAAAACGATTATTAATATCTTGAGAATCTCTGGCACTTAAAATATAAGAGGAGCTACACCTCCCCAAGCATTTGTAACTATATGATAATGCAGCACCACTATAATATACACGAACCATGAAGAAAAACGCACTCAATTTTTTTTTTTTTTAAAAAAGCAAGTTGACGTTGATTCTTGGTCTGGATGCTTTCTCTTAGTTCCCACACAGATATCTTTGAACAGCAAGCTGAAATGTCAGTGAATTTTTAAAAAACCTGTAAATCTGTTCAAAAATTAAACCTCGAATATTTTGAAATCACTATTCAGCTTCATAAATTCGTTTATTTTTTTCTCCGTTGATATTTTTAACTTTAAATAGTGGGTAATTTCTAAGCCAAGAAAAAAGCCACTGGGTCAACATCCTTGTTACCCCTGTCCCCTCACCAAAACAAACAAAAAGCAGAACCTCCTTCCCAGCTTTCTCTTTAGACACAGGTATCTCACCTACTTTTTCCCAGCTATCTTTGCTCTAAATTCTCCACAGCATCTTTACCTTAAACCAAAACGAACCCCGGGCAAGATTAATTAAGCTGTTTCCAGGAGACCCGTTTCATGGTCGGGTCTGGGAGCAGTAAGGCTCCTTTCCACCCTGTCCCCAGTTTTCAGACCCTTCTCCCAGCATTTCGCACCCGCTCAGTTCAAGTGCGAAGACGGGGGCCCGCAATGTTGGGCTCGAAAGCGCAGAGCCGGGGCCTAGACCACTACACGGCCCCGGAGGCAGCCCGCGCGGTAGGGAGGCAGTAGCGGCTCGGAGAACCAGACGCCGGAGGCCAGGGGTGTCTAAATAAATGGAGAAGGCGCTCGGACCTGGAGGGGAAAGCTCGGGACCCCCTTCGCTGCCTCGTTTACCCTCCTCTCCTCCATGCTGGAGAAGCAGAGCCCCGGCCGGTGCGGGAATGGGGAGGAGGTAAACCCGTCCTGTCACTGCACGGGGAGAAGTTGGAAGGAGCACATGTTCTACGGAGAGATACCGCGGCCGCCCCTGCCCTGGCCCCTAACGCCAGACATCACTTCCAGCCTTCCAGGTTCGTCCCTTGCGCCTCACCAGGTCGTAGTCCTCTTCATCATCGCACATGAAATCATCTTCCATGTCAGACATCTTGGCCGGGAAAGGGGGAGGGGGAGGAGAAATTGGAGACAACCTCCTCCCACAATCCTCCGCGACTGAGGCGTCACTCCCAGCTTCTCCTTCCCTTCCCGTCGCTCTTAGAGGAGCTAAATGTTTCCACCCGGAACAAATGCGCTCGGCATCGAGAGGGTTCGCTACGACGTCAAAAGGGAGTGCACCGCCCTTTCTTCCTGCGAGATGGTTGGTGTCTTAGCAACTAAACCTAGCAACTGGGGAATCGTCAAGTGCTGCGGGACTCAGCTAAAGGGCTTGGAAACCTTGCGCTCACATCCAGCAGTTTCCAGCCTCCTAGGCAAGGGAACAGTCTCCTCCCTTGCCTGGGACTCTGGAACCATCTCATTCTGGTGAAAAAAAGAGGCAGCCTAGGACCAGAAGCCTTTTGTGGAGAAAAAGTATGACAGGTAGTGTTATTTCTACCATCATTATCTATGCATTTAGCCCACACATTGCGGTGGGTGTGCCTGTAGTGTTTGGAGACCTTTACAGCAGTGCAGTTTTACGCGCAATGTTTGTTGTATTTGTAGTCTGCAAAATGAGTCGGTGGACATCCCAGATTAGTTAAGCATCAGTCAGTTGAAATGTCCAAAGTCTTATTCAGTTGTTAAACAAATTTTAAACTGACCTTTACTGCCCTTGGGACCAAATTAAGGTAGTAGTTAATGACTGGTTTTTAAAAATGCATTACTGCATAAAATCATCAGCATAATTCGGAATAAGAAAATGAATTAAAGAAATAAAAACTACTCAGCATTGCTATGTAAACTTCCAGTTCTGCCCACTTGAGTCCACAAATTTTATATAGTTATAGCACAGCTGTAATTTCACATTGTTTTTGTACCTAGTTATGTAACAGCATAGGACATGTGTACAATATATTCTTGACAATGATTATTTTAATAGTTGTTTAATAATCCCCCCTTGAATGAACCAATATACCTCAATTTACTTAAGCATGCCATTTAGATACATTTAGAATGTTGCAAAAAATAACACTTTTAAGCAATTCTGCAGTGAATATCTTTGTCACTTCCTCTTAGAAAAAAGTCAAAGGAGTACTACAGGCTAGATTTTTTTTAGTAATCAATTGATTACTTAATTTAGTAATCACATTTTAGTAATTAGTTGATTTACAAATCACATTTTTGTCATTGTTTTTAAAAGCCATATAACAATGATATTGTATATTTATAAATAAATTTTCCCTAATAGTCTTTTTCTCCCAATGTCTTATTATGAGAAATTTCAAACATACAGTAAAATCAAAAGAATAGTCCAGTGAACATGTGTGTATACCCACTATCAGCTTTATTTGTATGTATGTATTTCTTGAAAGTAAGATGCAGATGTCATGACATATCACTCTTAAATGCATCTATGTGTATTTCCTAATAATACATTTGCTTATGTAATCACATCATTGTTACACTAAGAAAATCATTCCCTGATATAATCTAGTAGCCAGTGCATGTTCAAAATTTCCTTATTAAACATATAATTTTAGAGTTGGAATACATATAAGTTTAGAGTTTAGAGCCTTAAATGATACCACTTTAGAGTCCAAGGCTTCCCAATCATAACAGCTCATTGAAGTATGGCTTCCCAAACTCCATACCAGAGATTTGATTTAGTAGATCTGGGGTAGAGCTCAGTACTTGAAACCTTAAAACAAAACAAAATCACCCTATAACTAGGATGATCGTCCATCTCAGTTTGCCTCGGACAGCTCTGGTTTAGTACTGTTTTCCCAGAATAATAATTATTAGCATCTATCATTCTCAGAAGTTTAGATAATAAGTCACATGGCTACTCTACCTGAAATTCATAATTCTTCAAATGAGAAAATAGAATTCTAAAGTAGTAAAGAGACTTATTTGCTCATAGTAATCAGAGCTATATAGTTTTGCCTTTTAGTCAATAAAATAATTTTGAAATTATCAACCATGTATGTACTGATTACCTGTATAAAAATAATTTCATTGTATTTATATAATTTGCTGCTTTTTAATGTAATTACTCCAATAATGGAGAAAGAATTGTTCAATTAAATTATTGACTAGGAGCATTAGGAAAAACGTAGCTAAATTCTGAGCTTTATATTGTGGTCATCTCCAAATTTAATAAATTCAGTCCAGAAATTTGCTAAGAGCAGTTAAAAGGGGCTTCATGATGCTTAGCACACTCTTTGAGTACACAAGTGTAATGAATATTGAATAAACAAACATGTTAATTAATCCTGTGCAGGGAATGCCCTTATATCTATCAGTACACATCAGAATCTTTTTTGTCCTTGAAAGTTCATTTGAATGTTACCTCATTCACACAGCCTATTCTGAATACTTTGTGCAGTTATGAAATTCTTTTTCTTTAATCAGTTTTACTCAATGGTAAATAATAAACACATTTTTATTTTAATTAATTGATGTGATATGGTGCTATTGTTGAACGGGATGCTATGCTTTTACAAAACATAAAAAAGCTTTGTTGAGGTACATTAAACTGAACATACTTTAAGTGTACAATTTGATGAATTTTGACATATGTATAAATCTGTTAAACCATCACCACAACCAAGATAATACAAATATTTATCATTGCAGAGTGTCATCATTGCCTCTTGGTAATCCATCTCCTCCTCCCTTCAGATTTCCCAGGAATCAATGATCTGTTTTTATTTTATTTTATTTTTTGTCACTATAGATTAGTTTACATTTTCTGGAATTTGATATAAATAAAGCATATAGTATGTAATCTCTTTTGTCTGGCTTCTTTCACTCAGTATAATTATTTTGAGATTCATTCATGTTGATGCATGTATCAACTGGTTGTTTCTTTTTTGTTGGGAACTGTCCCATCTGGTTTCAGGAACTGTAGCACTGTTGACAGGCGAGAGGGCCCCAAGGCTGGAGCTAAGCAAGGAGGCCTTAGGAAAACAGGCCACCAAGGAGACAAATCCTGTCTCATTGAGACAAATGGCTGGTTAGTCAATGACGGGTAAGACCCCTCGATGGAAGGGACAGCCTAAGACAGGCACAGCCGCAATGGGCATCAGGGAAGAACTTGGGGGACATGGAGAAAGGGCATAAGACCCTCACCCCATGGCTTTGATATGACTGGGGTCCTCATTCCATCTGAAAGAAGTCTCCTTGTCTCTTGGTGGCTCTACTCCACCTGCCTGGCTCAGGCTTGAAACAATACTGGAGACAGCTCTAGACTGGATCTGGCGGTTCCCAGGCGAAATCAGTCCTAGAAGTCAATTCCTTGAAGCATGCTTTGTTTTTTCCCTGAAAAGCTATGAAAACCAGCTTATGCTGGGAAGGAAATTTACATTATTCACAGACCCTGACCCTAAACCCTTTGGAGCTCTTATGTTTACACCCTCATGTTTACTTGTCTCATCTCAGACCCATGTAAATCGGTGTGTTCCTGCCATTCGTTTTCTTCAAAACATCATCTATTCTCTGTAAACATTAACATACTGATGTAATGAGATCACCTGTACATTCCTACTACCTAGCCCCCATTGATAACCCTTTCAATAAAAGCCATTGGACACAGGGGCTCAGGGCCTTCTCCACTAGAGGGAATCACCACCCCTCTCCAGGGCAGACTGAGAAAAGTGTCTGGGATGGCTTATTTTTATTTCCCCATCCGTGACGACCCAGAGCGGTCTCTGCGGAACCAGGGTCTGCCTTCCTCCTCAGCTGGTGCCCAATCAGGGACCTCTGGAGTCTGCCTCACTTTTTATTGCTGAATATTCCATTGTATGGATATACCACAGTTTATCCTGTTGATGGGTATTTGATTTTTTTTTAGTTTTTGGCTAATACAAATAAAGCTGCTAAGAACACTTGTCTATGGGTTTTTGTACAGACATACGTTTCATTTCTCTTCTGTAATGTGGTGGGGAGACCCTAAGGTGGTTTCCTCATTACCCATGCTTTTGAATAATACTTTCCCTCAGGGGTGTCCGATCTTTTGGTGTCTCTGGGCCACACTGGAAGAACAGCTCTCTTGGGCCACACATTCAATACATTGCGACACGTAATCGCAAAAACACCTCATAATGTTTTCAGTAAATTTACAATTTTGTGTTGGGCTGCATTCGTAGCCATCCTGAGCTGCATGTGGCCCATGGGCCGCAGGTTGGACAACCACTGCTCCCTTTTCAGTGTGGGTGAAATCTGACTTGCCTTTTTTAAAAAAAAATTTTTATTGAAGTATCATTGACAAATAAGTGTGACTTGCTTTTAACCAAAACATACAGCAAAAGGGATGTATATGATTACGTTACACAAGATTGTAAACCCGTCTTGCTAGGAGAGACTGTTTCCATTGTGGGCTTTTAAAAAGCAAGTGGCCCTGTTGTGAAGGACCATGTGGCAAAGAGCTGATGGTGGCTTTGAGCCAACAGCCAGCAAGAAACTGTGGCCTTCATGCTGACAACCTAACAACTGAATTCTACTTACAGCTGTGTGATCTGGGAAACGAATCCTTCCCCAGCTGAACCTCAATTGTAGGACCCTAGAGCAGAGGAGCCAGCTAAGCTGTACCCTGATTCTGAACTACAGAAACTGAGATAATCAATGTGTATTGTTTTATATTAAATTTGTGGTAACATTGTTATACAGCAGTAGAAATGAATACAGGTAAATACCTAGTAGTAGAATGGTTGGATCATATAGTATGTTTATGTTTAACTTTTTAAGAAACTGTCAAATTGTCTTCCAACTCGTTTTGCAATTTTGTGTATCTGCCAGCAGTGTATAAGAGTTCTAGCTGCACTACATCCTTGCCAACATGTTGTTTTAATGTTAGTCCTCTAGGAGGAGTGTAATGGTACATAACTGTCGGTTTAATTTTCATTTCCACAATAACGAATGTTGAACATCTTTTCATGTGCTTATTTGTCATCCATGCATAATCTTTGGCGAAGTATCTCTTCAGTTCTTTTGCCTATTTTTAAATTGGGTTATTTGTTTTTTTTACCATTGAGTTGTAAGAATTCTTCATGCTTTTTTTTTTGTGTGTGTGTGTTGTATTTAAGGACTATGTGCCCCATCTGCTAAGATTTTCTCCTATGTTTCCTTCTAGAAGTTTTATTTAGTTTTAACTTTTACATTTAGGTCTATGACCATTTCAAGTTTAATTTTCATGTATAGTGTGAGGTGAATGTAAAGGTTTATTTTTTCCTGCATATGGAAATCAGATTGTTACAGTGTTGTTAAAAAGGTGATCCTCTTCCTATTGAATTGTCTTGGCACCTTTGTCAAAAATAATTGGCCATTTAATTCCCAACATAATTTGATTCTTTAGAAGTATATTTTTGATAATTTTATGTACCCTGTATTATGATTATTTTAATATTGACAAAGGAAGAATACTCTTCTACTTCTTAAGGATTGTTGGGAATATTCAAAGAGATGATAATAAATGTAAAGTGCTTACTTAGCAAGAGGCCTGGCATAAGGAAGATGGTATAAAAAAGTAATGTGAGTTTTGTTTTTTGGTTTCTAGTTGGGATTCTGCAGTAATTGGAGAACAAGTTATTTTAAAAGTAATGTGTTTTATAAAAATAATGTACAAATTTGGGGGACAAAAGTTACTAATTATTTCAATAATTTTTCATAAAGCATACTTCACTGGGGTCTACATATTCAGGAGTAGGTTGGGCTAGGAGTCTAGAGACCTGAGTTTTAATTTTAGCCTCACAATATCCTTACTCTTTCACTTTGGGTCAATTAATCTGAAAAGGGGGTTTTACTTTTTGTTAAATGATGCCTTCCAGTCTTTAGCAGTTTTATTGCAACTGCAATAGAAATCTATCCAAGATTCAGACTAATGCTTTGCCATCAGGTTTCATTTAGCAAAGTTAATATTTGGTCATCAAATGCACATTCAATAGGAAATATTATTTTATGAAACAGAGTTTTCAATAGTGAAAGAATGAATTCAACAGAATTCATTGAAAAATACTGTATGAAATGAGTTTGTTTTCTGGACTATTAATATGCAAAGCTTCAAAATTTAGTTATTTTTCAGTGACCATAAAAGGATATATTAGAAACATACCTGATTAAAAAATGATCTTTCCTTTTCTATATTTACTGATATTCCTAGAAAATTTACATGTTTTTCTCACTTCGGTTCTCTCTCCATTCAAACATATTTACAGAAGTGACAACAACGCCTCCCCTTACTGAAAAGTAAACCACAATAAGCATCATACTAGGATTTACTGGGGTTCAAAAAAGACATAATCACTTCGTTTGCTAGTGATAAGGAGAGAGTGAAATAATAGAAAGTAGTCCTGAGACCAGAATAACTTAGTTTATGTGATGTTCCATTTATAGTGATGATGTAAGTAGGTGCTAAGGAGCTGCAAAACTTTAGCTACACTTTGATATTGTCAGTTCATACTTAAGCCTTCATCTGCAACTTCCCCTTCCCCAATATACACATAATAGAAATTCTGGAGTGGCAACTTATGGAATTTACCTGGGTTATGCCACTGCCCCTAGAGTGTTGGTCATGTTGGCCCAAACTTCCTCAACTTGGAAACCTTGGGATAGGTGTGTTACTAACCTGCTTTACTTGGGTTAAATTTCAGCATTGTGGGTTACAAAGTGAACTAGAGAGTTAATAGACCTGAAGTTTAATTCAAATTTTGCTACCAATTAGCAGCGTGACTTTAGGCAAGTAGCTTCACATTTCAGTGGTTCCTTCAGTTCATCTTACCTATTGATTAAAACAAAACAAAACTAAACAAAACAAAACAACTGTCAGGTTCTGCTCTGGGTGCTGGGATACATAGTTCCTACTCTCAAGCTGTTAACTTTGTAATGGTAGTGGTGGTACCAGACCAGATAGAGGTGGTAACAGACAAAAAAAATGTCTAGAGAAAATAAATGTGCAGAACTTGTGAAAACTATCAAGGCAAGAACACAGTAATATGGTAGAGAGATGGAGTAGTGATGGTGTGTTTCTTGATATAGGGCATCTGAGATTTCTAAAGGTGACTGAAAAATGAAAGGGGTTGGACTGGGTGCTAAGGGCTCTTGACAGTTTGAAAGACATATTATTTTCTTCTTTTCACTATTATCTGTGTTCTAGGAAGTCCCACCAATGCATCTATTTTGGAATAAATGCAAATATGTTACATCAGGTGCAGCATCAATTTTATATTGCCTGATTTTTAAATAACCCACACGAGAGGCAATAACTAAACATTTTAGTGTTATCTGGGGGAGTAGTTGCTGGTCACTAAAAAACAGAAGTCCTAACTTTAAAAAAGGGGGGGGGGGAGCGAAACCTGAGGCGCCAGGTTAGAACTCTCTACTCAGATTTCTCCCCAGGGCGCAGAAAAAACAGCTTCCTAAACCAGCTATGCACGCGCTTCACGCAGGGCCTCCAGGGAGTCCCCGGTTTCCCGGAGCCCCGAGCTGTAGGTCAGCGGTACCGGACCCCCTCGGGGAGGGCTCGGAGCCCCAGGGCTCGGGGAGGAGGAGCCAGAGGAGGGGCCGACTGGATGCAGCCAACGCGGCCTCGCAGCAGGATTTCCGCAGGGCGGGGGCTGGTGGCGCCCGGAAGAAAGCGTTCCTGCCGCCGTAGTCTCGGGATTCTTGATTCGACCGTTGAAACTGCAGAAGAAAGATCTTCTCGAAATATGGCTGCGGAGGGCCCGCCCACGTGTCGAGTCCAGGTGGCAGAGCATCCCAGGTGGGGGAGAGGAGATGCCGCGGTTTGGGACCGCCTGGGTTGACGAGGTGCAGATGGTGTCCAGGGCTCTCCACGCGAGCGCGGCTGTTACCCCAGGGAGCCAACAGAACCTTTGGGATTTTATAAGGCCCCGCGGCACTTTCCACCTTGACTCCTACCCGGGATGTGTGTTTTGCTTCACCCATTCAGATCTCTCTTTTTCCTTTCTTGCTGAAGGTGGTACACTCTTCTGCAGGGCTTTAGCACAAATACGCATATTAACTTTGAACCCCATCTCTCTGTCTTGCCTACCAGACGATAGTGCTTTCCGAGGTCCGCTTTCTAAAATAGCAATTGAAAACAAACGCAAAAAAAGAAAAAGCACCTCACCCCAAACAACTCCACCCCCCGCCCCCGCAAAAAAACCCCTTTGGTGTCCGCATAGTTTTAAACAAATCATGGAATCTATGAATTGTTATCTTCTACCAGTACCTAACTACAGAAAAACGAACAGTTTAGTGATACCTAGTGGACGATCTTTTCATTTCCGGGCATCTTGCACATAACTTTGTAGAAATATTTAGTTCTGATGTAGAACTGAAATCTCATAGAATGAAGTCTCTAACCTGCTACAGTTTGAGCCCTACAGATTTTCTAAGGTTGGCTTCGCTCCCCTTCTGCTGTTTCTCATTTTTACTCCCCGCCAGCCCCGTGAACTTTTCTTTCTGATATTAAGTCCTCAAGCTCTCCTTACTTCCAAGTATATGATTGTCATGTGACAGTTGACAGTGTAACGTACTAAAACTTGAACGTGCTTTTTCACCCCTAAGCCAGCAAACAGTGGGTCTTTAGTTACCAGAAAGAAATAGTTTTTGATTACGAAGACTAGCACTGCTTTAGAGGACTTGCGAATGTCTTTGGATGTCCGTATATTCTCCGGAGGTGCTTGCACAGTACTGTTGCCTTCAACATTCGAATCAATTAGGACGCTGTTAAAGACATGCTTCCAATAAGATTCATGAAAAACTTGTTACATGAAAATAATCTGGCACCATGTGGTTTAGTCTTTTACATAAAACATCTATGTATAAATTTATTCTGCCTTTCCATTTTATATGATTTGAATAATACTGCTCAGTATTTCTATCGTTAGTTACCCTGTTGGGGAGAGGGAATCACAGTGGTAAGGCACTAGAAGTGAAGAATTGTTTACAAAAGGTTCTTAGGTATCTTTTGCCTTTTTGACTTTTACAGTGTTCATTCATGGAACAAATATTTCTTGCTCTGTGCTAGCCACAGAAGAGATCATAATAGCAGTCAGATAAGTTTGTGTTCTCCCATTTTCTTGTGCATGCAATATGATTGTTAGCTTCAAGCAATGTTTCAGCCACTTATTTATTTTAGTAGGGGGTGACTTAAATTTAGATAGTATATCTGTAAGTCTACCTAGCTGGTCATATGTTGCAAAATGCTGCTGGAAGGGAAAAGGTGCATGAGAGTGCCAAGATGAGACTCTCCTTGCGGAGCTCCTTTCTTCAGGGGGCCTCTTCAATTCACAGCACACGTGATCCTCTGAATAAAGGCATTAGTCAACCAAATCACACATTTTAGTAAACTTAATTTCTGTTCTTTTTATCTAAAAGTCAAATAGAAATAGAAGCTCTAATATTTTTTTTCTGCATCCCAATCTTGCATGATCCCTGTGTCGTAAGTCTGCTTCCACGTCCATTATTGCAGCTCTCTTAGCAGCAGTGTCTCTTCTCTTCTCCTCCTCTTTGGGATTAAGTTTTAAATTGCTGGATTATTATTCTTTAATAGTTTTATTGATACATAATTCACATACCAAACACTTCACCTGTTTAAAGTTTACAATGAAATGGTTTCTAATATATTCACAGGATTGTGCAACTATCACCATAGTCAATGTTAGAACATTGTCATCACTACCAAAAGAATCCTGCATCGCCCAGTCATAAATAATCACTAACGTACTTTCTGTCTCTATATATTTACTTATTCTGGAAGTTTGAAATAAATGGAATTATATAATATGTGGTTTTTGTGACTGGCTTCTTTCACTTATTATGTTTCCCAGGTTCATCCATGTATGCCATTTCTTTTTATGGTTGAATAATATTCCATTGTATGGCTATACCACATTTTGTTTATCCATTCATCAGTTGGTGGATTCTTGTCCACCTTTGTTCTCTATGAATAATGGTGCTGTATGATTGCATTCTCAATAGGAAAGAGTTGGATTATTTAAAAGTATATTCAGTAGAGCCTGGAAACCCTACAGTTCCTTTCTTCACTATAGCCTCTGATTCCTATCCTGTGCTGCCAATTCTCCCCTTTTTAGAAGTTATCAGTTTGGTTTGTATCCTTATAATGTCATTTTATCTTGATAGTATCCTTATAATATTATTGTTACCATTTTTTAATAAAAATGTTATTGTTATGTTCATATAAGTAGAATCATTTATTTTTCTGTCACTTTTTTTTTTCACTTAACAATATTTCTCAGAGATTCTGCCATATCACTCCATACAGATTTATTTCAGTTTTAAGGGTCCAGAGTGTTTCATAGTATGAATACCACTATTTACTTAACCACTCAGCTATTTTAGTGTACATGTAAGTTTATGATTTTTCACTCTTACACTGCCCCAGTCAGAAGAAATATATCTTTGAATATTTTTGTTAATGTTTCTTTAAACTCATTCATGGAAATGGAATCAGGGCCAAAGGTAACAAACATTTAAAATTTTGTTGGTTTGTGCCAAATGGCCCTGCAAAAGAAAGATGTTATTAGATTGTCTATTTTTTTGATAGATTTCAGGAGCTTTTTAAGTATATATGTATTTTTGTATGAATGTATGGATTTTTGGATATAAACCATTTGTTGTTTTATATAGGTATTATATAATATTGTTTCCAGTCTAGCACTTTAACTTCATTATGTCTTTTATATTTTATGCAGTGTAGTTAGTATATTGTTGAATGATAACACCCTTGTCTTGTTTCTGCTTTTACGGGGAATGTTTCTAACATTGTTGCCATCAATTATGATGTTTGCTGTTTTTGGTAAATAACCTTTATTAAAGTAAGGACATTTCCTTCTTTTCCTGCATGTTAAGTGTTTTTCTTTTTTTTGTTAAATTTAAAATTTTACTTCAAAAAATCAGGAATGGCTATTGAATTATATATGTATATTTGCATATTCTGAGAGGATCATGGAGTTAATAGAGTTTTCCCCTTTTATTCTGTTGGAATAATGCATTTATTCAACAGATTCCTGGTACTATCTTCATATTCTTGGAATAAACTCTTTGGTTACATGTATTATAAAATGATGTATGTTGGATTAAATTTACCAATATTTAATTTATAATTTAAAAAAAAATCTTTTCACAAGTGAGAATAGCCTCTAGTTTGCTTTGGAGGCCTTTACGTTTTAGCATCTGGGTAATACTGGCCTCCTAAAATGAGATGTGAATGCTTCCTATGGCTTCTATTTTTAGAACCATCTATAAAAACAAAGGATCATTTTTCTTTTAGGTCCTGATAGAGCTAACTCACATTATTTCTGGGTCTTATTAGGGGATTATTTCTGATCTCATTTTCCATTTTCTTTCCTGTTTGTCTATTTCTCTTCTGTCAATTTTTAGAAATTTGAATTTTCCTAGAAAAGTCACCACTTTTGTATATATTAAGCCTTTAAAAATTCCTTTTTGAATCTATAATTGTCTCTTTAATATTGATTTTATATGATGAGACTGAGATAAGTTTTTTCTATATTATTGTTTTTATTAAAGAAAATTGTAATTTTTTTTGGCCAAGTCTTCTATTTTTCCCCTAGTTTGTTGAATTCTCCTTTTATCTTTAATTCATTTCTTCTAATTTCTTTATTACTTTTTTGCTAGCTTCTCATGATCTATGCATACTTAATTTATTTTTATTATTCTTTATTTGAGTTTTCTAAGTAATTGTCATTTTGGCTTTAATTTCTACTTTTTCTCACCTTGTCTTCTTGCTCACTGGTTTGTTCTTCAACTGTTCATTCTAACTATTCAGCCCATCTACTATTTTTGTTTTCACCATTATTATTTTATTTTCCAAGATCCTCAATCTTATTATTGTCTTATTTTTACATTTAAATTTCTGATCTAAGATGAACTGCGATGGAAGGAGCAAAGTGGGGATTAAATTTCCCTCTCCTCCCCCAATGGCAATTATCCATACTTAGAGATGCTATTTTCTTAACATATAGTAAATTCTCAAGTATAACTTTATAATGATAATGATTATTGCATGCTTATAAAATCCTCATAACAAACCTTTGCAGGAACTTGTGTTGTTATCCTCAATTTGTAGTTGAGGAAAGTGAGGGATAGAACAACTCATATTAAAATTATGATTTTAAGTGAGGAAAAACTTTTCTACCCTCTTCAAGGTGTGGAAGCTAGTGCCTGTAAATTAAATTGACAAAAGATAGATTAACAGGAGAAAGGTTTATTTCACATGCACATGAGGGCTTCACAGAAGAGAAATGAATACCCAAAGAAGTGGTTAGGGCTGGGAGATTATATACCATTTTAACAAAGGATGGTAAGTTGTGAGAAGTGACTAGACAAAGGGGAGGGGTTTGGGCTTCTAGGGATGGTAAACTGTAGGAAGGTGACTATATGGGGGAAAACTAATGAAGATGAGGCTTATTTTAGTGAGGTTTATTTTTGCAGACTCAAGTCAGTGAAGTGTCCAGTGATAAGAGTCTTTATCTCTTGGTATGGGAGGGGGAATGAGACAACTCCAAGAAGGGAAATTTATGCCTTGACCAGTATGGCTAAGTTGTTTGGGCATCGACCCACAGGGTGAGGGCTTGCCCATTCGATTCCGGGTCAGGGCACATGGCCTGTGTAGCGGGTTCGGTCCCCAGTCGGGTGGGGTGCAGGAGACCACTGGTCAATGTTTCTCTCTCACGTTGTTTCTCTCCTCTTTCTCCATCCCTTTGCCCTGTCTCTAAACATAAATAAATAAAGTCTTTTTTAAAAAAGGGAAATTTATACCTTGCTTTTAGGTAGATGGAGGGTAGACAGCTCCTCCTGTGTTTGCTATTTCTTGATTACCTTCAGCTCAAAATAATTTTCATGCCAGATGACATATTTAGGAGTGGCATGTCCTGATTCCTTTCACCACAAAATGTATATTTATGCATTTCACAAAAATAATATATTTTATATATAAAAATACATAATAACAATCAAGTATTCTTAAATTAGTATTAAAAATTAATATTTTCTATAATGCCATGACAGGGTATCCTGATATTGAAGAGAAAACAGAAGCACAGACAGTGTAGGAGACATATCTAAGGTCATATTGGCAAACTAAAGATACATGTCTTGGCTCCTAAAATTTTAGTTCCTTCTTCTTTGCACTTAGCCATTTGGTCACCTGAAGGTCCTTGGAAAATCAGTTCTTATATTGTAACCTATTTCATTCACTACAGTCAATTTTGTTTCTCAAGTTCTGTTACTAGAACGGCTGTTAACAAAAGATCTTAAGTCAAAAGAGCATTCAGACTACCAGATTCAGCAATTTGTGTTGTGATAATTTGACCATTTTTAGCTTTAACAATGTGATCTTTGTAGGAGCTTTTATTTTCATATTGAAAATGCTCATGGTACTCCTTTTGGAGGCATACTTAAAGTGGCTGCATTTTAAGACATGGAGTCTTGCTGGTGGCTAGTCCAGCGTGGTAAAAATATAGCTACTCCCCCAGTTATAGCCATAGTGCTTCATTATTAGAGGATTAGGTATAAAGTTTAGAAAAACATATACACATCAGTTCTTTCTATTCTTCGAGAGAAGTACTTTCCTTGATTGCTTTTATAGCCTCTGTGCCTTTGAATCAAAGGCAGGAATGTCATATGGTGAGCTTCTTGGTGATGGAGTAGTTATAGTAAGGCATGAACAGGCTGTCTTCCTGAGGTAGTCTGTGAAAATAATACAAGACTTAATAACTCAAAATCGTTTTATTAAAACCCATTTTAGGAGACCTATTCTGACACTGCTGTTAGTACTTCATCTTGTTTGTGTTTGCAGTACTTATAAAAGCAAATTAATAAGGATTTGAGTTCAGCAGAACTCCAATTTTGTCTATATGAGATTTTCACAAGCAGAAATAACACTCCTTTTTGAGGCTAGTGGAAAACTCCTGCAACGCTACATCTCCCTATTCCCCACACCTAACTGGTTACTGATTCCTACGGATTAGACTTTGTTTTATCAATTTAATGTTCACCCTTCTCTACCTCCACCACTAATGTACTGTCAGCTTAGCTCTAGGTTTACTACAATGGCCTCCGATTGGATTTCTTTGTTTCTGCCTTGCCTTCCTATGACCCCATCTTCTATACACTTGCCATTGAGCTTTGAAATTGATACACTTCATCCTTAAACATCTGCTCACATCCATTGCCTATGTGTTAAAAGCTAGGTTTCTCGATTTGTCATATGAGGCCCTTTAAGATCTGCTTGATTACCACCACCCTCCTCTCCTACTTTTCTCTTTTGATATATTTAAAGACCTAATTATAACTTTCTGAATGCAGCATGCTGGGCCTTCTAATTCCATTTGCCTAGAATGCTTTACAACATCCCACTTGTCTGACATCCTTTACAATTCATTTTAACTGTTGCCTCTTTGGAAAGCCTTCTCTAACTTACTCTCCCGATTTTGGATTTATCTTCATCCACATTCTCCCACAGTAGGGGCTAAACAGCTTTTCTTTTTTTTTCCTACTCCCAAAGAACTGTATTTGTCTGGCTTATCACTTTATTGTCACACTGTTGTACTTTTTAGCTTACTTTTGTATTCCTGGAGGCCAACATCTATTATTAATCCCCCTTTTAAGTAGAGTACTTAGTAAAACATCAGTAAATGCTTTCTAAAAAGCTTTTATTTTGAAATAATTTGACTTATAGAAAAGTCAAATATAGTTAAAAAGCTACTGTGTACTGTTCACCCAAATTCCCTGACTGTTAACATTATTCTATATTTGCTTTATTGTTCTCTCTTTTTCTGTTATATTTTTCTAAATTGTTTGAGATAAAGTTGAAGACATGATGCCTCTTTAGTGTATGTTTACCAGAAACAAGAACATTTTCTAGCATAACCAGAACAGAATGATCAAAATCAGGAAATTAAAATTGATACATTATCTAATTGAGAGACCTCAAATGCTACCAATTATTCCACTACTGTCCTTTATAGCAAAATGTATATATTTTTTGGTCAGTTCAATGGAGGACACATGTTGCATTTAGTTTTTGGGGTTTTTTTTAAATCTTATTTTGAGGGGTAGGCACTTTCTCAGTCTTTCTTTGAATTTCATGACCAGTTATTTTATAGAATATCCCTCAATTTGGGTTGCAGGAAAAAATTGTGAAAAACTTTAAATTGGACCAAAAAATTACTGAGTGTCTCTGAGGAGAACCAGAAGTTGCCTAGTGTACCTATCTTTCAAGTTATCTGATTTCTCTGTGGCTCTGAGCTTTTCAGTATAGTCAAGCTATTTTTATAGCCCCGTAGGTCATAGGAAACAGGTAGCAATGTAAATGATTCTTGTCCATAGAAATTGTTAACTATGTCTGTTGGAATGCAGTTGATTGTTGCTATTGACTAGTTTCAGTAGTTTTTGTGTTTACTTGTAAATTCATTTCAACAGTCCTTATTTGACTGTATATGAGTAGTACTTCCAATTCTCCTAATTGGTTATAATATTTTACTGGTTTTGTCATTAGTTACTGAAATAAAAATCTTTAACACATGTTTATTTTATACCTATGTAAGAGCCATGATTATACTTTAAAAAATTTGTCCTTTAACAGAGTTTATTTAATATTTCTTCATGATATGATTCACTTTATTTATTTTTGGTAATAATACTACAAAAAAGTAAGTTTGTTTTCTCAGTACATCATATCAGGAGGTACATGGTGTCTATTTGCCCCATTACCAATGCCGTCACCTTGGATCACTTGGTTAAGAGACATCTGCCTGGCTTTTCTACTGTAAAGTTACTATTTTCCCTTCTGTAATTAGTATATATCTTTTGGTGAAATACTTGAAGAATATGTTAATATTCTGTCTTGTATCAAACTTTCATTTACTGGTTTTAGCTTTTGTTGATGATCTTTGCCTGAATCAGTTATTACTAGGATGGTCATCAAATAAATGATTTTTCTAGGTTTTTTTCCATATATTTTTACATTTATTATTTGGCATTCTAGTGTTAGGAAGTGTTTTTTCTTTGTTCCATTTATTTATGCTTGTATAGATACATTGATTTCTATTTTATTCTATGGGTTATAACATGTTATTTTTATTACTTTGTCGATGAAATTGTTTCAGATTTGGGCATTGCGAACGTCTATGTGGGCTCCTTTGTCCTGACATGTTAAGGTCATTGTTTCAGCACTTCCTTACTTTCTGGCACCACATGATGTTCCAGGTTCGTGTCTGCATGAGAACATCTAAACCTATAGAAAATTTAATAAGAGTTTAACTTTTTAAATCGTTTGTGTGCTTAGCTCTACTCTTGTGTTGCTTAGGGGGGATTACAATATTTTTTATTCCAGGAGTTTTAAAGGAAGTCTGCCAGTGAAGTATTTTTGCTTTTTTATTTTTTAGGGGTAATTAATGATGGTAGATACATGAAATATGCTTCAACATGTATATATTATGGATTTTTCCGTTATGTGGATATTCTGACACATTCTATTCTTGTTTCCAGACTGCTGAAGCTAAAGGAGATGTTTAACTCCAAGTTTGGATCCATTCCCAAGTTTTATGTTCGAGCACCAGGAAGGGTCAACATAATAGGTATTTTAAAACTTCCTTCTCTAATTTTTTCCTGCATTGGTAAGATCCAAATTTTTGTTAATATGCTACTTTCTTAATTTTTCTCAGGAGAACCTTAAAAAAATTGAATATTTTACATATATCTACTATAGAAGATATACTTCTGCATAAGGAACCACACTATACTTTCATCTTTCCCAATCTATGTTATTAATGTTAATTTTGCCCATTCATTTAAGAAATTTCTGAATTTGTTGAAGCTAGTTATTAATATTGTTTCATGAGGGATGAAAATATTTTTCTGTGCTGCAGGTTAAATTTTTAGACTGTGGTGAGGAATTTTGGTGATTTTACATTTGCTTATTGCATTAGAAGACTATTGGGAAATCCTATAATTCCTCACTTTTAATAGTGTGGTGACTGGAAGAATGATTTTTTTTGTTTTATTAAAAAGAATTTTTATATTTTAAAAATTTTAAATTTTATTTGAGCCAAACTGACAACATGTGCTTGGGAGCAAGATTGCAAATGCTCTGGAGAAGTTTTCCAGTTTCTTGTGTGCATTTGAGATTAAGGAGAGACGATAAGGAAGATTCCATGAAGGTGGGAGAAAACCTTTCAGGAACTGGATTATAGGACAGTTAAACTAATGCTTTAGAAACAGGGTTTCGAAAGGGGACATTTCAAAGGTGTGTTAGCCTAGATGCACAGAAACAAGTGGCCCGGCTTTGCTTAAGACAAAGATAAGACATTTGCTAAAGAAGTTATAAGCCTGGGACTTGACTACCAATGATAACCCGCCCAGTTAGGAATTTATGATGACATCACCCATGAGGTTACTTTCCATAGAAGCCCTTTTTCCGTCCACAACAGGAAACTTGTATAGCTCTTTATCTAGTTACAATGATATTTAAATACTGTGGCATGAAGCGTCACCATGTCCATTCCATCAGTATTTATTGAACACCTAACGTGCCCCCACGGGGATGCCATAATGTATAAAACTGAAACAGTCCCAGTCTTTATGTGAGAATGGTTTGTTTTCATCAAGAGAAAATGGGATGGAGAACTGAGAAAAACCTAGGACTCAAAGGAGGATTAAAAAAAACCTTTTTGTAATGGAAAATGTAAACATACAAAAAAATTGGAATAATATAATAAACTCCCATGTACCCCAAAGCTTCCATTATTATTAACTTAGGCAATCTTATATTATTTTGAAGAAAATAATGGAGGATTTAAAAAATATGGGATGCTTGAGCATGGTTAAATGAGGGGGGAGGGGAATGGAGTAAATCCAGTAGGGAGAGGATTGAAGAAATCTGAGAAGGAAGGAACTGATGGAACAGAATTCCCTAGAAGTCAACAGGGCTGGCATCTAGAGCATATGAAGAAGTCCACTTTGACTCTTTTTAATAGAAGGCAAGGAAGAAGAGGATGCAGGTTGATGTAGGTAAATATTTAATTTTTGTATAGAAGGTTGAGGGAGTTCTTATGGGGGAGAGTAGGAGGGGTTGAAAGTTTAAGGAGAAAGCAGAAAATGTGAAATAGCCTTGTGAGGAAGAATGGGAGAAGGAGTTGAATGGAAAAACAAAAGGTTTGCTGGGTAACATGGAGGACTGGTTAGAGCTGGAGACCAAAGAATTAGAGCAATACCAGTCTGCAAGGTTTTCATTTTTTTTTTCCTTCTCAGCTAGTCTAAGTTGCCTGTGTTTGATGTAGATTTGGGGTTTTGTTTTGGATGGAAATTACAAGAGAATGACAGAGGCATCAGGAAATTTATGATTTGAACCCTGAAATCTTTGCTGGGTAGAAAAAGAAAGAAAGGTAGGATGGAGCTTGTAGAGTAAAAAGGGCAAAGCACTGAGTCTGGAAAACAGGCAAATGGGACAATCTGAGTAATAGAAATAGCAGGATGGGAAGTTTTAGTAAAGACTATGATACTTGAAACTAAAATTTCATAGATAGAAAAGTTCCAGGTGATAGGAAGGTCTATGGTCATTACTAGATTTGTCAATACTGTAGAAGTAAGTAGATGGCTGAAGCTGGGAGGAGGGCAAGTTCTCCAGAGGTTAAGGGATTAGGAAGCTAGGGTTTTGGACTGGGTTGTTTACCTGAATGTTGTCCAGGTTATTGCAGGAGTGGAATGGAGACAGGCTAGAATGAGGTGCTAAGGTCTTCACTGAAGAACTGAGTATGTAGGAGTATTATAGATGAGACTGATGAGGAGGAGAGAATGTGACTGAGGCTTCTAAGACCAGGAGGACAGAAAGAAGGACCTGGAAACAGCTGAGTGGGAGAACAACAATTCCTTGCTATTGCGAGAGACTGAAAAGAAGCAATATTCTCAGAGCAGAGCCAAGCTTCATTTAATTTTGTGGCGAAGGATTCCAAACCAAAGATTTTCCTGCTAAGCAATTCTTATTCTAATAAATTTATTGACTATTTTCTGATTTTAAAAAAGAGGTATATTGGCCCTGGCGGGTGTGGCTCAGTGGGCCGAGTGCCTGCCTAAGGAATGAGGAGTTGCCAGTTTGATTCCTGGTCAGGGCACATGCATGGGTTGCAAGCCAGATCCCCAGTTGGGGGCAAGAGAGAGGCAACCGATCAATGTATCTTTCATGCATTGGTGTTTTTCTCCCTCTCTTTCTCCCTGTCCCCTCTCTAAAAATTAAAAAAAAAAAAAAGAGGTATATTATGTTCCAATGTAGTTAATTTTGTTTGTGTTTGGGATGAAATGAATTTCAGTGTTTATTAAAAGCATTATTGTGTTTTTTGTTTTAGATTTATTAAAATATTCAGAATGTAATAGTCTTATTGTTACTTGCCAGCAGTTCCTTCTCCCTCCCTGCCCTTCCCCTGGTTATTTCCATCAGTTTTGACAAAAGAAGGAATGTCAGAAGACGGTCATCCACACTGTAGCCTCCTCAACAGAATCTGGTACCTCCCTAGAGTTGCACTTGTTTAAATATGTGTTTTCTACTTGTGAACCATTGTTTTGTATTATTGTCTTCTTAAAGGATGTTGGGGAGAAAGACAACTTGGGAAAGTTCTCCATCTGTCATTGTCAATCTGGGGAAAAACCTTTTATTATTATTACTTTTTATTTTATTATTTTTTATTTAATTTTTTTTCTGTTCTGCTTGTTTACTTATGGTATTTTGTTTTTTCAGATTTAATTGCTGATAGATATGTACTTATGTAATTTTATTTTTCTTATTTGTGATCTCTTCTTCTACTTCTTCTTTTTCTTTTTTGTCTTTTTCTTCTTCTTAAAGAAGATCCTTTAACATTTCACATAACAGCCTTGGCTGGTGTGGCTCAGTGGATTGAGTGCTGGCCTGTGAACGAAAGGGTTGCAGGTTCGATTCCCAGTCAGGGTGCATGCCTGGGTTGCAGGCCAGGCCCCCAGGAGGGGGCATGTGAGAGGCAACCACACATTGATGTTTCTCTCCCTCTCTTTCTCCCTCCATTCCCCTCTCTAAAAATAAATAAATAAAATCTTTTAAAAAAAAGTTCACATAACACTGGTTTGTTGGTGACAAACTCCTTTAGCATTGTCTGTTTGGGAAGCTCTTTATATGTCTCCAATTCTAAATGATAGTTTTGCTGGGTAGAGTAATCTTGGTTGTAGGTCTTTACTATTCATCACTTTGAATATTTCTTGCCAATCCCTTCTGGCCTGCAAAGTTTCTATTGAGAAATCAGCTGGCATTCTTATGGGAGCTCCCTTGTAGGTTACTAACTGCTTTTTTCTTGCTGCTTTTAAGATTCTGTCTTTCTTTTTAACCTTTTGCATTTTAATTATGCAGTGTCTTGGTGTGGGCCTCTTTGGGTTCATCCTGTTTGGGACTATTTTACGCTTCCTGAACTTGTATATTTATTTCCTTCACCAGGTTAGGGAAGTTTTCTTTCATTATTTTTTTAAAATAGGTTTTGAATTTCTTGTTCTTTCTCTCCTCCTTCTGGCACCCCCATGATACGAATGTTGGTACACTTGAAGTTGTCCCAGAAGCTCCTTTCAATGTCCTCAATTTTTGGATTCTTTTTTCTCTTTGTTGTTTTGATTGTTTTTTTTTCTTCCTTATATTCCAAATCACAATTTTGATTCTCTGCTTCACCTACTCTACTGATGAAATATTCTTCATTTCAGTTAGTATGTCCTTCATTTCTGACTGGTTCTTTTTTATGATTTCCATGTTCTTTTTTACTCTGTTGAGGTTCTCACTGAGTTCATTGAGCATCCTTATAACCAGTGTTTTGAACTCTGTGTTTAGTAGATTGCTTGTCTCTATTTTGTTTAGTTCTTTTTCTGGAGTTTTGTTCTATTCTTTCATTTGGAACATGTTTCTTTGACTCCTCATTTTGCTAGCCTTTTGTGTTTGTTTCTATGTATTCTATAAAGCTGCTGCATCTCCTGGGCTTGGTAGAGTGGCCTAATATAGGTATCTTGTAGGGTCCAGTGGTACGACCTCCCTGTTCATCTGAGTTAGGCACTCTAGGTGCACCCCTCCCCACTGTGTGGGCTGTGTACACCCCCCTGTTGTAGTTGACCATTTATTGCTGTTGGCGTGTTAACAGGAGGGATATACCACCAGGCCGATTTGCTACAAGAACGGGCTATGACCATTGCAGAGGATCAGCTGTACAGTGTCACACTCCATGGAACAGGACTTACTTCAGTGGGACTCTGGTGCCTGCTGAATCTGCCCCTTGAGTGAGTTGCTTGTAGAAGTGAATGAGTGGTGCTTCAGTGTGGTCTGATGCTGTCCACAGAGTCCACTGACTATAGGACCTCCTAGGAGGTGCAGGCCAAGGTCAGCCACCACCTATGTTCTGCCCAAGGCAAGCTGGCATGAGCTACAAAATGGTCTTCTACTTGTGCTGGACTTAGAGGTGCCAGGAAAAGCCAAGTTGAGGACCAAGAACAGATGCTGCCAGTGCCAGGCCTGGGGCCACTTAGGTACGAGGCACACTGAGGCCAGATGCTCCTTGTTTGAGAGGTTTTAGGAAAGTCTGAAGCATGAGCCTAGACAGGCCATTCCTATGGAAAAACCAGTGGGAGCAACTTGTGTGGGCCCACAAATTGATGGGGTAGGGTCTCAGGGAATCACCAGGGCTGGGTAAACAGTGATAGCCAGGTTGATGGAGATTTAGATATAGTGATGTCCTGCTGGCTCTCTGGGGGAAGGAGTTTGAAAAAGAACAATGGTCTCTGCCTGCACTTCTGTGTGAGAGAAAGCTCCAGCTCTGGTCCTGATACCAAACACTTCAGTTCCTCCTGATATGTCCCTGTTGTCTTTCAAGCTGCTGCGTCGGTGCTGGAACTCAGAGCAAGTGAGACCAGGTACAAATGGGCATGAGCCCTTTAAGAGGAACTGCCTGGGACTCCAGAAGCCCTCTGCCTCCCTCAGCCACAATCCCTGTTGGTTTTTACAGCCAGAAGTTATGGGGACTTCTCTTCCTAGTACTGGACCCCTGGACTGGGGTGCCTGGTTTGGGGCTTGGACCCTTCACTCCTCAGGAGTAATGTCTGCAGCTGAGTTATCCCTCCCAATTTTTATCTGCCACATATTAGTGTGGGAGCAGTCTGTTCTGTGTCTCCTCCCCTCGTATCGGCCTCAGTGTGGCTTCTTTATATCCTTAATTGAAGGACTTCTATTCAGCTAGATATCAGGTGGTTCTGAATGATGGTTGTTCTGTAGTTCAGTTGTATTTTTGATGTAGTTGTGAGAGAATGTGAGTACCACGTTTACCTATGCCGCCATCTTGACCAGAAGCCTGTTTTATTATTTTAAAGGACACATCAATGTAGGAACAAAAGGATTGCTACTTGTAATAATATGTAAGATATTTAAAAAAATATATAATTATGCCTTCCATTCATTTTATATTTTTCAGTTGATGAATGTCTGCAATAGAAACAGATATAAAAACCTGACATGTGGAAATATAAATGAGCTTGCTTTGCCCAACTTTTTTGAATTGTTATTTTGTATTTAAATCTTATGAATAACAAGTTTGAATTTAAATAGTAATTTGAAGGTATTATGGTATAGTAGAAAAAAATTCTTCCTTGTGTTTCAAGGATGAATTATAACGAAAAGGGTAGTTTGCTTCCTATATTGGCTGACTATGTATAAAGTAGTACGGTTTAAATACTCTTTTTCTGACTTCTTTTTTAAATCCTAGCTATGTGTAGCATACTTAACACAACTTGTTAGTGCCAGTATAATTTGTTAGGCATTTGGTTATGCCACAAGAAAAATAAAGCAAAATCCTCCCTTTAGTGAGCTCATTCTCTAGTGAGGAATAGAGTGGGACTCACATAATGTTAATGTAAGGAAGAGTGTGCTAAAGGCTTTCATCTTTCATATTTTAAAAGTTAATACAAAAGAACAACAGATACTGCTTTTCTTGATGCTTCATATAACTAGTCACATAACAAATATTTGAAGATGTTCATTATGAATTAGAAAGTGGATAAAAAAATCTTGTGAAGAAGTTTAAAAATTAGAAACTCTTAACTAATATACTTATGCTAGCAGAAGTTCCTGGCTCAGATGTCTGGGAGAAAAAAAACTGAATCACTTTCTTCCCATGGTATTTTTATTTTCTGTTAAAACCTAGCTTTAAGTTTTTCCTGTGTATCAACTTGTGTTTCTCTTGTGTCATCTGTTTTTAATGACAAGAAATGCTTTCTCTTTTTTCCAGGAGAACATATAGATTACTGTGGATATTCTGTTCTTCCTATGGCTGTAGAACAAGATATGTTAATAGCTGTGGAACCTGTGAAAACAAATAATCTCCAACTGTCCAATACAAATCCCTTATACCCGTGAGTATTTAGGATTGCTACTGTGTGAGGGTATTTGTACCCAAATGAACTCTTGAGGAGATATCAAATTTATAATAAGTTATTAAATTAACTGAAAATCTGTACATGAATTGTAAAAGAACCTAAGGCTACTACTTAGTAGCCTATTTTGTAGCCTTGGCACTTATTTTGTTCATTTGCTCATTCATTTAAGAAATACTTGCTGAAGATTTATCATGTATCTGACATTATTTTAAGTAGATTATAAGCTCCCTGACTTGAGGTACTGTTGCCTCTCTTCTTTAATGCTGTAGCCTCAGTGTCAAACATGGAATCTGGTACATAATAGATGTAAGCTTGTAGTACATATGCTTTATTAAGTTAAGGATATACTCTTTTGTTGTTTCTTAGTTTGCTAAGATTAAAAAATAATTAATGAGTATCAGTTTTTTTAAATGTCTACTCAATATTGAAGATCAGTTTATTAAAAAATATTATGAATTATACTGATGAATTTTCTAATATTGAACTGTCTTCATTCGTGATAAGACCTACTTGCTATCAGTATATTATGATGGATTTGACTTGCTAATTACAAAAAAGATTTTGGCATATAATTGGCATATTATATTTTTGGCTTATTGTTCATGAGACCGTTTGCCTGCAGTAATGTTTATTCTGTAATTATTTTATGTGTACCTTTGATAAGGCATTATACAAGGTTGTGCAAGATACAGAAATTCCTTCCTTTTGTATGGAACTTATTGTATAAGATCCTTTTATTTTCTATTTATTTTGCATAATTAAGACTATATCTTACATAGATTTTAGACTTTACTGAAAACCTTACATTCATTATCTCAAACACAATTTTTTATTGTTTGCAAACATTTAATACTGGGTGCATAATATTAATGATTTGTCATACTGATTTATCCATATTCACTTAACAATTCCCATGATAATAAATATGTGGTTTCAGTTTTATTTTATTTTTTTCTCAAAAGCAGAGCCTGAGACAGATTTGAATGAAGGCGGAGTGTTTGGGAAATGACCCCAGGAGTAGTAGTGAAAGAGCATGGAGGATGAGTTAGGGCAGCAGAGGTCAATGAGGTCAGGCAGTCCCTGCTGCAGAGAAAGAGCTTCATTCCACCCGGCCCCTGGGAAGCGTGCAGCATACCTCCCAGAATGCTTCACATGTTGTGAGACATTCACTTCACGGAGATACCCTAATTTGTTTATCTATTCACCATGGATGGGCATTTACATCATTTCCAGTTTTTGGCTATTATGAATAATGCTGCTAAGAATATTTGTGTACAAATCTATGTGTGGATATGTTTTTCATTTTTCTTGGGTAACTACCTAGGAGTGGACTGCTTGGTTTACCTTTTCAAAGAATTTGCCTAATTATGTTCCAAACTGGTTGTAACATTTACACTCCCACCATCAGTGTATGAGAGTTCCAGCTGATCCACATCTTTGCTAACATGTCTTTTTAAATTTTTTCTACTCTCATAAATGTGTAGTAGTACACAGTTAGTGCATTGAGGTTTTAAAATTCTCTAATGATGTTGGACATCTTTTCACACATTTATTTGTCATCTGTATATCTTCTTTATTTAAAGGTCTGTCCAAATCATTTGCCCATTTTGAAGCAGGTTTTTCATCTTCTATTATTGACCTGTAACAGTTTCTTATATATTGTAGATACAAGTCCTTTGTTAGATGTATGTTTTGCAAAGTATTTCATCTAGTCGGTGGCTTGACTTTTCATTTTCTTTACTGTGTTGCTTGAAGAAGAATAGTTTTTAATTTTGAGGAAGTTGTATTTATAGATTTTTTTCTTTCAAAGTTTGTAATTTTTGACTGTAATTAAGAGAACTTTGACAAACCCAAGATTACTAAATTTTTTTCCAGTGTTTTCTTCTAGGAATTTTGTAGTTTTAGTTCTTACCTTTAGGTAAATGATTCATTCTGAGTTAATTTTTGTATGTGGCATGAGATAAGGGCTGGGGTTTATGTGTTTGCACACCCAATTGCTTCCCACCATTTATTGGAAAGATTATTTTTTCCCATTGAATTATCTTGACACCTTTGTTGAAAAGCAATGGATAATATTTGTGTGGATCTATTTCTGGACTTTATTCTGTTCCATTGATGTTTTTGTCTATCTTTATGTCACTATACCATTTGAAGTTGTAGCTTTATAAGGAGCCCTGAACTCAGGTAGTATAAATCCTCTAATACTGTTTGTCTTTTAAAAATTTGTTTTGGCTATTCTTTTTCTTAATTGCAAACATTTTAATTCTTTTATGTTGTTGTTGAAGATTTTATTTATTTATTTTTAGAGAGACAGAAGGAGAGAGAAAGAGAGGGAGAGAAACATCAGTGTGTGGTTGCTTCTCATGCGCCCCTCACTAGGGACCTGGCCCACAGCTTAGGCATGTGTCCCAACTGGGAATTGAACTGGCGACTCTTTGGTTCTCAGGCTGGTGCTCAATCCACCGAGCCACACCAGCTGGAGCTGTTTTGGCTATTCTTGATCTTTTGTACTTTCTCATTAATCTAGAATCAGCTATTCAATTTCTATAAAAAAGCATGCTGGGATTTTTAATGGGGGTACACTGAATATATAGATCAATTTGGGAAGAATTAACATCTTAACAGTATTTAATCTTCCAATTCATGGACACAGTATATCTCTTCATTTATTTGTGTCTTCAGGTCCTCTCAGAAGTAATTTGTTGTTTTGAAGGTACCTGTTTTGAACATCTTTTGTTAATTTTTTCTCTATTTATTTTGTGATAATATTGTTCTTGTAATCACCTAGCCTAGTGCCTGACACAAACAGGGCAAACACTGGGCAAATATTTGTTGGAAGAACAGGTGAATAAATGAATAAAACGTGTAAGTGGAATGTGAGTCATGCCTGCTCATTTTGAGGACTTTTTACTTAGCATTCTACAACGTGGATGTAAGAACAGAGAAGGCAGATGGGTGATGTAGTACAGGAACAAAGATTGGTGGAAAAATGAGTGTGTGTTTTTGAACCTTAGGAAAAGGCCTGGCAGAAAGGTAAGACAGGGATGGAAGATGATACTCTCAGCAAGTAGCATCCAAAAGAAAGCAAGTGTAGCCATACTTAGGACAAAATATGCTTCAAGCCAAAAGAGGTAACAAGAGACAAAGATGGACATTATGTAATGATAAAGGGGACATCAAGAAGACATAACATTTATTTATATATGCGCCCAACTCAGGAGCATCAAAATATATAAAGAAACTATTAACAGACTTAAAGAGAGAAATTGATAGCACCATAGTGACAGTAGGAGACTTTAACACCCCACTTGCACCATTGGATAGATCCTTCAGACAAAGTCGACAAGGAAATATTGGCCTTAGGTGACACAGTAGACCACATGCACTTAACAGATATATATGGAACATTCCATGCAAAAGCAACAGAATACATTTTCTTCTTAAGGGCCCACGGGACATTTTCAAGGATAGACCATATGTTGGGACACAAAACAAATCTGAAAAAATACAAGAAGATTGAAATCATACCAAGCATTTTTTCCAGAAACTAAACTCAAAGTCACCGAAGATTGTGATCTAAATGATGGAGAATTCAAAAATAGATGTCATGAAGAAACTCAGTGAGATGCAAGAAAATTCAGAAAGGCAGTTTAAGGAGCTAAGGGATAAAACTGTGATTTTCTTTCTGTGATACTTTGTTAACGTGATGATTCTTGGTGCTTGCTGGGTGGTTCCTCTCCCGGTATGTTTGAAGGATGGAACACTTCTTTAGGCACAGCTTTCATTTTCACAATTCAGCCGGTTGGTAATTAGAGGCCCTTTTCCCCCCAGGAGGTGGTGCTGTAGCACAAGTTTTTGGTGTTTGCTACCTGAGCTGACTACATTTGAGGGCCCGCATTTCCCAGCTCCCCAGCCTCTACCAGAGGTGTCGCAGGTGCCTTCAGCACTACTGCTTGTGCCTCTGGTGTCCCAGGAAACTTGCTGCTCCCAGTGTCACTGCAGTCGCTGGTTTTGCTGTGGCCGTGGTTGTCGCTGCCAGGGTCACAGCGATGGCGTGTGCCCCCATTGTTTCCGGGGTTGTCTGGGGCTCAGGCAACAGCTTGGGCGCGGGAGAGGGATAGCTGGGATGGAGAGTAGCTGGGGTCTAGAGCCCCGCGCCACTGCTGCCTGATTCCCTGTGGCTGTTTCTGTGGCCGGGAAGTCAGAGGCTCCTCCGCTGCCCCCTCTGCCCCCGCTGCTGCTACTGAGTCCTCCAGGGATCAGCACCACTGCAGCCAGGGGAAGGCGCCTGAGTTTCGGGTGCTGGTGCCGCTGCTATCCTTTTTCCCCCATCCCACCCCAGGCCTCCGAGGGGGCCCTGAGTTGCGGCCTGGTCTCCATGGCTGCTACTGCGCTCGCTAGGGCTGTGGGTTCAGCTGCCGCCTCCAGGGAGCCAGGGCCAGTCAGGAACGCCATTCCTGCTGTTCCTCGAGTTCCGCCAGCCGTGTGCATTCCACTTCCCCACCGTCAGGTGTGTAGATGTGTGGATCTCGCAGGCATCCTAGTGTTACGACCAGAGGAATCTTTCTTGAGTTTACTGATATCCCACTAGTTGTAGATTGAAGGTGAGAGACAAAGGGAGCGGCTCACTCTACCATGATGCTCACATCATCCTCCCAGTATATTTTAACTTGTGTGGGTGAAAATAAAGTGCTTGTGATCTGGACAGACTGTGTCCTTGGAGTCACCAAAACTCTCAGCCTCCAGGAAGGCCTCTTCTCTTCAATCCATCGTGCTGACTGTAGAAATGATGCCTGCTTGGCCTCCTATCCCGCCCATGTTCCACATCACATGACATGGTGTGTGATCATGACTTGTGTTCATGCTGTCTCTGCTAGATTACAAATACTTAAAAGATAAGCCCTTTCCTTTTTCCCTTCTATTCCTTCGAATACCTTGCACACTTAAGTGGTCATTAAAAATTTTCCTTAGGAGATGATGTATTCATGTTACTGAGTGAAGAAAATGCATACAATGTACCTACTAAAGTGACTGGCACATGAGTAGGTATTTAGTAAATTACGTGAAGAGCATTCAGTCAATATGGGGAATGTTGCTTATTTTCTCATTTTAAATTGATCTCTATCCCCTCTTCCATTTCACATCTTTTGTCTTCTGGCTGATTTAGAAGCTTATCTATTTTAATTTTTGAAATAATTTTTGACTTACAAAGAAGTTAAAAATAGTACAAAAAATTTCTACACATTAACTGATGTGTCCTCATGCATCACATCAGGGAGGCACATGATGTCGCTTTACTGATGTTAATTTTGGTGATTTGGTTAAGGGAGTGCCTGCCAGATTTCTTTACCATGAAGTTACAATGTTTTCTCCTTGGAGTAAGTGTCTGGTGGGGAAATCCCTGGAGTGTAAATATTCTGTTTCTCATCAAATTTTTACTCAGTATCTTTAGCATCCATTGATAATTCTTTCCCCAAACTGTTATCAGGGAGTTTGACAAACAGTGATATTTTTTTGATTTCCTTCATTTTTCTACATCTATTAGTTGGCATTTTACTCTAAAGAAAAGTTTTTCCCTTCCCCTTCATTTAACTATTTTTTCATTTGTTAATTTATATCAGTATAGATTCATGGCATCTTATTTTATTCAATGAGTTATGATCCATTAGAATCATTACTTGTTTTATTTACTCTTTTTTCCTCTTAAACTGTGCATATGGTAAAATTGGATGGATGGCGGAGAGTGTGAGGAAAGAAGGCATGAGCAACTGTTGCAGTTAGCAAGATGCTGAACAGCAGGGCCAGAGGGTAAGGTTTATACTAGCTTAGCAAGGACCATCATGAAATAAAGAGTGGTGTAGAATTATGCTAAAATATATCAGGTCCTCTCTGTGTCAAGAAATAAGGGTCAGTTGGAAGTAGTTTAGTTATTAAGGTCACCATAACTTTTTCTCTTAGCTCTTGGCAGTTGGACATGTTTGTTGTTTTGGGATAGACTGTGATAGACTGTGAAGTCCGCGTGTTGAAAGTAAATGGTAAATGAGAGTTCAGTATCATGCCTTGACACAAGATGGCAGCATTCAGCCATTGATTTTGCAGCACAAGGCCTCCAGATGTAAATTTATGGTGTCTTGTTTTTTGCAGGGACTTCAGTACTAGTGCTAATAACATACAGATTGACAAAACTAAACCTCTGTGGCACAACTATTTCCTATGTGGATTTAAAGGAATTCAGGTAAATTGCTTTATAAGGCAGCTACTAACATTTGTGATTGTGATGTCTATTATATCAATATTTATTTTATTTAGTCTATCAATTTTGTCTCCTTTCAATACTAACTGCTGTTTCTATTCTATTTTGCTAGTTTATATACTTCAAAGGATGGGTAGATAGGACTTTCTCTGGGTGGTGTTCACAGGGGGCAGTAGTGGCTGTTCATAAGTCAGGTGCATCTGACATCTTTCTGGTTTTTAAATTTTTGTTTTTAAATTTTCTTTTGAAGGATAAATTCTAGTAATATTATTCACATTTTGTTCTAGGAATATAGAAGTGTGTACTGTAATAGGACTTACAATCGAACGGCCCAGGGTTCAAATCTAGGTTCTACCCAGCTATATTCATTTAACCTCTTAAGTCTCTATAAAGTCTCTATTAGGTCTCTATTTGCTATCTATAAAATGATGTCACTTTTATCCCAACAAAGAATTGTTGCAAAGGATTACACAATGCATGATGCATAGTAGGCATTCAATAAATGGTAACTAATATTGTTAATACTAGTAATACTGCTTCGGATGGGGTTAAAAAAAGATGTAGTGAAGTTTATTAGAATAAATGTTTTCCTAGTAACTTTGAATAATTATTTTGAACATCTCCAATGTCATGTACAAGGGCAAGAAAATAAAATATTTTCACTTTCCTAATTTAAAATATATGAAGGACCAGAAGAAAATTGATTTGCTGTATCAATTTGATTTGTTTATTAAAATCCATGTTTTAGAGAGCTTGTGTTCCTTACTGCTGCCTGGCAGTCCTATCCAGGATGACTTTGTCTTGAGTAGCCTAGGACTTAGTGGCCTATCTGTGGTGGAAATACATCACATTTAGTTTTGATATGTAGTCTTGTACTCTAATCATGATGGTTTTGATCTTGGAGTGAGTCCCTCCTTCCCTTCTCTCTTTCTCTCATTTGTTCACTGTTCTTTCTTCCTTCATTCCCCCAGACACATGGGAATAACTTATGGGAAAAGTTATTGGTAGGTTTTAAATCTTCAAATGATTTGGCTTGTCATATGCATTAGTGGGAATTACAGTATTTGGAAGCATTTACCTGGCAAATACAATCGGATATTCCTTATAGCAACATGCCTTTTGAAGCATATGGGTAAAGTGACCTAAATAATGCATGCTGCTTTGGGATGCTTTTGAGAATTTCAGGTCTTAAAGCCTTCATTTTTAGTTTGATAACTTATGTGCAAAAGCAGGTTTGTGCAAGGAATTTTTTGCAGGAAAGTAATTAGAAGTTAGCTTGTTCAGAAACCTTCAGATTCAAATACTAGAAAGTTCCAGAGGATAATCTGTTTATATTAAATTGAACATGTTATCCTTCTGGGATAGAGCTATTACAGAATTTGGCAAAACCCATTTGCATTTTTGAATCTGTTGTACGTTTTAATTTAAACATTGCGTGATAAGTTTGTAAGTATGATTCACATTCACGACACCATGTGAATCAGTTTATTGTTAAATATATAGCATTCAACAGGACTTTTTTCTTTTTCTTTTTCTTTTTTAAACAAGCTTGATGTTCTGTATTAAAGGGCATTGACAGCAACAGTGTTTCAGTTCATAACTTGTTCATATTTCTGGAAAGAAAATTTTTAGATAATTTGAAATCAAGAGGAGAAGTACATCTAACTGAATCATTTCTTTTGTGGTACATGAATTTTGCCAGTTTAGGGAAAAAAGGACTAAAAGAAAATTAAGGGAAAAAACCAGTCTTTTATTTGTGGAGTTTTGTAGTTACTTTGATTATTTTAACTAGTTTACTGAAATTTCTCCTGAGAATAATATGTATGATGAAATGCGTAATTATGTAATATAATAGTATTTTGTACTTTGGTCTTAAGCCGTTTGAGTAATTTGCAAACACAATGGTACTTGATGAGGAAGTGGCCTTGAATTTATTTTTAATCTTAAACCACAAGGGTTATATGATATGATCATCCTAAGTGTCATCCTACATATTTATTTAAGTCTCTTAGAGCTTTCCATCTTTAGATCAGAGTCTGATTGTTTCTTTGGGCTTTCCTATTTAGAGAAATAGAGTTTCCCTGCTTTGTTTAGAGTCTGCATTCTTATTTGTGGCTGAATTCTAATTTGGCTGTCTTGAAAGCTACCATATGGCTAAATTGTATCTATAAACTCTCGTAAAAAATCTGGATTTCCTCATATAGCTGACTTACATTAAATCACAGTGACAGTATGCTGGCCCAGGTTTCTGATTTCAATGCAGAAGGTCTCAACCAGAAACCGGAGACCAGGGTCCTATCCCTAGTTCCCTACATATGATCTTGGGGAAGTCTCTTAATTTTTCAGTGCCTAGGTTTTTCCATAGGTAAAACAGAACTGAGTAAATTTGTTTTACCTCTTTTTCTTTAGAGGACTTTCTGAAGAAAGACACTCCATAGGAATAAGCCACTGCTAGGTATTAGATTTTTATAAGCACAGAGTGTTGGGATTTGCTACATAGTGATTTAACTTGTCTTGCTAAGTAATTGTGTATTTCTTTTCTTGCTGCTTGAGAAGTTAAATTATAACTGTTTAATATTTTTCCATATCTGTTGAAATCAATTAATATTCAAGAAAAAGATAATTCAAGGCAATTTTAAGAAATGGATCAGTAGCTTTTTGTTGAACAAAATAAAAAATAATCTTCATATTACTATATTCTTACATGAAATGTCATAGACTCAACTGAACTGAATTGCACAACTATTTTCTATAAATAACATAATAAGTCCATTGATAGACTTTCACTCCCTGGGGGATAAAAGAACACTTTGCTACTCTTTGAACCCAAAACTGAAGTTACTAGCGCTGTCTTTTCTTCTATTCTTAGGAACACTTTGGTCTCAGTAACCTGCCTGGAATGAATTGCTTGGTAGATGGGACCATCCCACCAAGTTCTGGCCTCTCCAGCTCCAGCGCTTTGGTCTGTTGTGCTGGCTTGGTGACAATCACAGTTCTGGGAATGAAACTCTCCAAGGTAACCAACTTGAATGTATTAGCCCCACGGAAACCTCTCTTTGTAAAGACATTAGTATCCAAGTCTCAAAATTAGAATGTCTTCTTTTGATTAAAAAACTTTTTCCTAAAGGACTATACGTGCACATGTTGTAACTTACTGCCTGTGATGAGCTCCTCTAAGGTAGCTGGCACCTTCCAAACAGTGAGTAGATCTGTGAATAACTATGTTAAAATGCTCTTAATTTAAGGGTATTTTAATAAGTATGGAGTTTGAATACAGGGAGATCTTTTAGGTCACCTCATTAACAAGTTTAGAACAAGAAATTCTAGGCCTCATGGTTGGACCTGCTTATTTTCACCTGAAACCTTAGATCAGATATTTGACAAGCAGTGGGTAAAAACCAGGCAATAAAGGAACTGAACTGCATATCTGTTTATGCCAGCAGCTTGGTCACTGAAATAAACTTTTTAAGAAAAATATTGCATTACAAAGAGGAAGTGCTTATTTAAAGGAAACATAAATCCTACCGGAGGTCAGAAAGCCTTAACTTAACAAGTTTACATAAATCTTTTACTTTGCAGTTCGGAGGCAGGTGTGCTCTGGTTTAATTAATGCTTTGATTTCTGGTTCATATAAAATGTTATCATAGGTTCTTTTTCTACCATGTACATATACTACCAAGTTTATAAATGGTTTGGGAACACAGCCGGGACATCAGGCAGATCAAAAGAAAAGACATCTACATGCTCAGTCTTTTTTATGCCTGTTTAAATTTCCAGTTTGAAAATTTTATGTGTAAGAGAAGAGAGATAAATGAAGGAGAAAGCAAAGCCTCAGGTAGAATTTTCCTTAGCTGTCATATGTAACTAATTATACATTAATTGGCCCTTTGTAAGCAATGGCTTATTTGGAGGGAAGGATGATTTACTTGTTCTGATTTGTTTGAAAGGAGAGAAAGAAAGCAAGGGAATGAAAGTTCATTATAAAATTTGTTAATTAGCTATTATTTTTATTTTTTTACTTTATTATTATTTTTTTAGAGAGAGGGAGAGGGAGCAAGAGATGGGGAGAAACATTGATGTGAGAAACATCATTTGACTGCCCTTTGCAAGCACCCCCACCCAGGACTGAACCTGCAACTTTAGGCATGTGCCCTGACCAGAAATCAACCAGTGACTTTTTGGTCTGTGGGACAAAGCCAAACCAACTGAGCCACACTGTCCAGGGCCATTTAACCATTACTTATTTAGTGACTACTTTGTGCCAGTTAGTGTTCAAAGCATTGGGGATATAATAGGTACAGTTTTAACTCTCATACTGCCTATAATCAAAAAGGGGAATAGAAACAAGTAAATAAGCAACTATAATAGACTGTGATAAATAGATATGTAGTGTGCTGTGGCAGCAGATTTAATCCAGATTTGGAGAGCAAAGGACAGCTAAACTGAGAGATAGGGATTTATAGATTTAGTCAATAAATACTGATAGCATGATAACACTGATAATATCAAATAGGCATGTATTGGGTGGAGGTAACAGCATATGGAAATATCTAGAGTAAGAGTGATCATGGTTTATTGGAGGAATTAAACATAATTTGGCTGGAGCACTGTAATTTGGATGACAGGGTAGAAGACTAGATGCATGTAAACTATGTTGAGCAATTCAGACTTTATCCTGATAGCAGTGTAAAACCATTGCAAACTTTTAGGAAGAGGGTAACGTGATCATATTTTAGAAATATCACCCAGGGTCTATTAGAAAATCTAGATTTGAGGGTAAAAGTATTAGCATTGAGGGGATGATTTGGTTTAGGGAAGTGACAGTGAAAATGAAGAGAATTAAATGGTAAATTTAAGGTCCATCTCAGACAGGATCAATAGGCCTTGATTATTGATTGGGTGTGAGGATGGGGGACAGCCAAGAGTCAAGGATTATATCCAGGCCTCTGGCTTGGCTTGAGTTACTGGAATAAGTAATAGAGATGGGGGAGAGGGGAGCTGGGGACTGATTGAAGGAAGGTGAAGGGATTAGTCAAAGAACATATATGAAGGACCCATGCACATGGACAGTGGTGTCAGGATTGACTATGGAAGTGGGGGGCAGGTTGGATGAAGGGCAGCAAAGAGAGGAAAATTGGGACAGCTATGATAGCATATATAATAAAATATTTTTAAAAAGAGGGAGATGAAAAATTAGGTGTGGGGGAAAGCAGAAATGTTGAGTTTGAGGAATTTGTAGGCATATTGATGAAGTGATTTAATATTTAGTTACAGACATTACCTCTGAAGGTACATTTGGACTTGAGATGGTTTATTTGAGAGTCGTGAGCAGGTAATTAATTTTTGAAGCCATAGAAGTGGAGAAGATGACCCATTGGAGGAGTGTAGGTAGAAAGATAAAGAAGAATATGACAGAGCTCTGACTTTCATAAATATCTGAAGGGTGGGCAGCGGAAAGGATGTCTTCTGAAGAGTCTGAGGAGTCTTCAGCTGGATAGGAGGAATATCAGAAAGGTGAGGCACGAGCGACGACAAGGACGAGAATATTTCATGAAAGGAGTGGCAGTGGTTTCAAATGCTGCTGAGAGGTTAAGACAAGGACGAAGAAGTAGCCATTGGATTTAGCATGAGAAAAGTTGAATAAAACTTTGGAAAAAGCAGTTTAAAATAGGAATGGGTTGAAGGGTCTATGAGAGGTAAAAAAGTAGAAATTCTGGCTTTGCCTGGAAAAAGAAATAATGTGGTGTAAGGTCAAGGAATTAATTTCTTTTTTAATGGGAAGATTGGTGAATACATACGTATATATTTTGCCCTTTGATGATATGAGTATCTATGGGAAAAAAAGATAAAGAAAACTTGAACCTTTGGAATTAATTCTGGATGTTCCCATGCTTTTAAAGTAAAAAATGCAAATGTTTTGCCATGAAAACAGACACATAGATCAATGGAATGGAAAAAAGAGCCCAGAAATAAACCTACACTTATATGTTCAATTAATTTATGACAAAGAATCCAAGAATATTCAATGGAGAGAGGACAGTCTCTTCAATAAATGGTGTTGGAAAAGCTGGACAGCCACATGCAAAACAAAGAAACTGGACCACTATCTTTCACCATGCACACAAATGAACTAAAAATGGATTTAAGACTTGAATGTAAGACCTGAAACCATAAAACTTCTAGAAGAAAACATAGGTGGTAATTTTCTTGACATGGTCTTGGTGATGATTTTTTTTTTGGATTTGACATCAAATGCAATAGCAACAAAAACAACAATAAACAAGTGGGATTACATCAAACCAAAAAACTTATGTGCCACAAAGGAGATCATCAGAAACATGAAAAGGCAATCTACTGAATAAAAAAAAAACCATATATCTAATATGGGATTAATATCCGAAGTATATAAAGAATGGATACAACTCAATAGCAAAAAACCAAACAATCCAACTGAAAAGTGGTTAGAGGATCTGAATAAGTATTCTTCCAAAGGAGACATACAAATGGTTAAGAGGCACATGATGATTAGCATCCCTAATCATCAGAGAAATGCAATTAAAACCACAATGAGATATCACCTCATACCTGTTAAAATGGCTATCATCAAAAAGACAAGAAATAACAAGTGCTGGTGAGAATGTAGAGAAAAGTGAACTCTTGTGCACTGTAGGTGGGAATGGAAATTGGTGCAGCTACTATGGAAAACAATGTGGAGGTTTCTCAAAGAATTAAAAATAGAACTACTGTAATTCAGCAACTCTACTTCTGGGTATTTATCTGAAGAAAATGAAGACATTAACTCAAGAAGATATATACACTCCTATGTTCATTGAACTATTATTTACAATAGACAAGATATGGAAACAACCTAAGTGCTCATCATGGATGAATAGGTAGAGAGGATGTGTTATACATATATTGGAATGTTATCTAGCCATAAAAGAATGAAATCTTACTATTGGCAACAACATGGATGGATTTGAGAGCATTATGCTCTTTGAAATAAGCCAGATAGAGAAAAATAAATACCGTACGATTTCACTTATATGTGAAATCTTAAAACCAACCAACCAACCAACCAACCAAGCTAAAAAATACAGAGAACAGATTGTGGGGTGGGGGTGGGTGGGTGAAATGGGTAAAGGTGGTCAGTGGAGATGTAATGTACAGCATGGCATCTGTAGTTAATTATACTGTATTTCATATTTGACAGTTGCTAAGAGAGTAAATCTTAAAGTGTTCATAAGAACTATGTATGGCTTTGTGTGTTACCTAGATTCATTTTTGTGATAATTTCACAATATATGTGAATATCAAATCATTGTGTTGTACACCTGAAAATAATATACTATTGTATGTCAATTAAATCTCAATTAAATAAAATCGAATAAAAAATATCAAACCAGAACTGACTCCAATTTCTAAAAGGAACAATATGTATATTTTAGCTTTCTCTGCTAGTCTAAATTGTATTGATAATGCTTTATTTTCTAGGGCTGAGCATACTTATTTGGATAGTTTCTTTCCTGGAGTGAGACAAAGTCATGACCGAAAGGAAGCCCCTAATTTGCTTCGTCTTTAGTTATGTGCCAACTGTATACTTAATTTGTAAAAACCATAGAACATAAGAATTCAAGGAGAGAACTTTAGAGGTGAGCTATATATTTTTTCCTTGATATATCAGTCAGTATCCTCTTAGGAAACAAATTGCACACAGGATATAACTGAAGAAAATTTAGTAAAGAATCAATGTATAGATTTGTGGGCAGGGTCAAGGGACCCAACCAGGAAGGGTTGGCTCTCTTGTGAAGCCAGAAGCCATTATATTTTTGTAGCTGTGGCTGTAGAGTAATGTTTCCAGGTCTGCAGGGTGGCAGAGAAAGTGTGCGTTGAGTGGTAGTGGCAGTAAATGGGGAGTTGTCCATAGAGGTCAGTCTCCTGGAGCACAGAGCTGTGAGAGAATGGAGGGGCAGGAAGGCAAGCAGAGAATAACCAGCATACCTGATAAAAAAAAAT